TTTCATCTCTGATCCATCAGGTCGCATCACATCCAATGGTTCCTCTGATTCGAACCATGGGACTAACTCATTAGAGCATACCCATTGAATGGAAGTCTAGACTGCGTCGTCCTCTTCTGTACTTTCCTTTCTACCAACATACAAATCCGTCTGCGAATCTCCTCTTGCAAGAGATACATTGCTTTGAAACGCTGTTGACTCCCGGGAAGGCCATAGAGTTTTCTTGATTTATATTTTTTCTTGAACTGTTTGTTCAAGAGCAGGTGATACTAAGTTTGCAGTTTGACTGAGTTCAGATTCTGATGGTTCTGACTGACAAATGGCGCTTTTTTATTTTTTTACTTTTTGCAGCATAAAAATTGTTGCCTGAAGTAATTGTGGACTTCCATCACTTGAACTTGGCATCTGACTAAAATTATACTGCATTTTAGGTGACTGATATGAACCTATGTTTAAGCTGCTCTGACAGATGTGTCATTGTTTTCCAGTTTTAAAATTTTCCTCATGTTGGAGACTAATTTTGATGCAGAATAGAATTTCAAACAGTTTGGGAAGTCCGTTTTCAACCAGAAAGGAGTGTTTTTGGGATGGAAACGACCTATTGAGCAAAAGCTAGTGGGCCATGTCATTTTTCGGCTGAAAACCTTCGTTTAGGACTCCGAAATCTCGTTTTTATGTCTTATAGGAGGCTTGTTAATTATTTCGGGATTTTTGTTCGTAGGCTAAACAAAGTCGGATTGTTGTGAATTTTTATATTCAGAAGTTTTTAGTGATTAGGTTTCTTATTCTATTTTTTCAGAATTTTTAAAAGAATTTATTTTTTTGGGTTTATTTTTAGTATTAGTTTCCGTATGTTTTTAGTTTCCACCTACTGTTAGATTCCTTATGGTTTATGGTTTCCTTTTCCTTATAAGTACATGAACTACAAAATGCAAAATAACCAATTCTAGTATCAATAATATATCAGAATTCTCTGTTAATTTTTAAATTTGTGGATTCAAAGTTACCCAACTTTGTGAATTCAAAGTTTCCCTTGTTCCTTGTTAACGTTTCATAGCTTCCGCTACGTCAATTGGTATAAGAGTCCTGATTTTACGTAGTCTGATGGTGATTGATTGTTTTGGTAGCACCCACTTTGCCGACGATGATCGCAAAGTGAAGGCCCCTTGGGCAGCCAAGCATACTCAAGAATGGTTCGTGGCAACTGGTTTTGGGATTGGTGACAACGAGGTTCGTGGTTTAGTTTAGGTTCATGTTGATTATGTGTCTCGCAGCCAACCGAACATCGGTTATGTTTCTGCACATCCACATAGACCTTCGGCTTATGAGGATTCTTTCAATGATGAGGAGTTCAGATTTAGAGAAGTTGCCATGGATCGACGCGACATAAACTATAGATATCCGAACAATCGTAAGTTTTAGAAAAAACTCGATTTACTCACTCACACTTCTAGTTTTTGTGCTGAGGATGTCTTGGATTGGCTTTATGAAGTTATAAGTACTTTCTCAAAAAAATTTACATACTTGAACACAAGCCAGTTCCGCTGGTAGCAATCATGCTTAAGAAATGGGTGTCAGCTTGCTGGGAACAAATAAAAATTAACCGGATGAGGCAAGGAAAACAGCCTGTATGATCGTGGTCCAAGATGAAAAGGTTATTGATGGCTAGATTCCTTCCACCAAGTTATTTGCAGATGTTGCTGCCCCAATATCACAATTGCAAGAAAGAGTATTCGAGTGTCAAGACGTACACGAAGGAGAATAGTGATAATTTTGTGAAAGCAACCAATGTTTCTCAGACAATTGGTTGTAATCAAAATTATGTTGCTTTGCCTTTTGTTGTTGAGGATGGTGAAGTTGTCCATGCTTTCACCACAACAGAGACACCTGAAAAGACTTCCAATAATTCAACTTCATAGACAGAAAAAGAAGAGGATGACAACAAAATTTTCGATGCTAAAAGTGAGCAGCATAAATCAGTTGAAAGTTTTTGTTTGACCAGATTATAAGTGAAAAAGTTTTTATTTCAGAAGGTCCCAATGAAGATATTTTGGTGTAGTATTTTTGGAGGTTCTCATGGCAATGAACACGATTTTGTGGCAGGCGAGACTTCACCTTTTTCGCAGCCAAACTTGGGGACGAGTTTTTTTTAAGTGGAGGGGACTGATGTATGACAGAATTTCAATTAGTTTGGGAAGTCTGTTTTTGACTAGAGTGTTTTTTTTGGGTGGAAACGACCCATTGAGCAAAACCCACTAGCTTTATCTAGTGGGCCATGTTATTTTTCGACTGAAAACCTTCGTTTAAGACCCCGAAATCTCGTTTTTATGTCTTATAGGAGGCCAGTTGATTATTTTGGGATTTTTGTTCATGGCCTAAACAAAGTCGGATTGTTCCGAATTTTTATATTCAGTAGTTTTTAGTGATTATGTTTCTTATTCTATGTTTTTTAGTATTTTTAGAGAGAATTTATTTTTTGGTTTATTTTTAGTATTAGTTTCCTTGTGTTTTTAGTTTCCTGATACTGTTAATTTCCTTAGGGTTTGTTTGGTTAGCATGAAGTAGATAGAAAGGAAAAGAAATGGAAAATATTTAAATTTGTTAGGAGTTTGGTTTGCGTGAAAGAGAAAATTTTCAGGAAAGTAATTTTCTTGCAATTGCTTAATTTTCCTCAAAATTTTTCTGACATAAAACACTGGGAAATTTTACTTTCCCGTGAAAGTGGTGCCTTCATATCTAAGTTTCCTATTATTCCCATGTCACCCTCCTCACTTTCTCCACAAACCTCTCTAACAAGTGAGTTTCCTCCTTTTGTAAATTGCTTATTAGATAATCTAATACTAATTTAATTGTATATAGTTTTATATGTGCATACAAAATTAAAATTTCATTGTATTTTTTCCTTCCATAATTAATAATGATTGAGAGATATATATATATATATATATATATATATATCTATTTATCTATCTATCTGAGTATTTAGTAACTCAGTGTTGGGTGAAAAACTAGGTTAGTGTCTCTGTGTATACAAGTTTTGAAATTATAATTTAATTCATACATGTATTTTTTTATACATAGACTTTTCGTGACTTTAGGACTCAACTACTCAAGGTATATTAGATGTACCAAACTTATTTAGTTTTAACTCTATGTATATTAGAGCATCTCAAATGCAATGCTATATTGCATGCTATTTCTAAAATATAACAAGTGGGCTTGAAAAGGAGCTCTCCAATGCAAAGCTATATTGTTTGCCAAATTTTAACTTTGCCAAAATTGATGCCAATTGTAGCACAAGAAATAGCAGTAGCTATTTCAGAGACAGAGAGAGAGAGAGAGAGAGAGAGAGAGTTTCAGATCTATATATATATATATATATATTTTAAAAAGATCATAAAAAATTTCACCAAATAGGATTTAGTTTGCAAAACAAGAATTACAGACCTTGATTACAGAAAAAAATAGAATTACAGACCTTGATCATAAAAATAGAATTACAGAAAAAAAAATAAAACAAAACCCATACATACAAGTTAACAGTTGCAGAGAGGGGGGGGGGGGGGGGGGGGGGTGGGGGGGGGGGCAAGCTTGAGAGTTGAGAGACAGCGGTTGAAGCTTGCGAAGGGCGAACCCAAACTGGAACAGCGGGCGATGGAAACTGAAAGATATCGGTTTTGATTTTTTGAACAATCTGAAATGATATGGCCGAGAGAGGGGGCAAGTTCAGTGAGAACGAGAATAGAGATGGAGGCGATTGGGGAGGCTGAAATGATTTGCCCTAAATATATACTATATTTTTTCCTGGGTCATGGGCCTATAAATTATATAGTTAATTATATGGGTCATGGGCCTCTCTTTTTTTCTTTTGTTTTTTGTTTTTTGTTTTTTTTTTCTTTTTTAACCAGATATTTTAGATTTTTGCTTCTTTTTAATTAGGTTTAATTTTAGTTTCCTTCTAATATCTACAACTTGACTTGGAATGTGCCTAATATTAATATTACTGGTGCAAATATGAATAGTGGGAATGGTAGTTGAAAAAGAATTGTGGTTGTGTCAAAAAATAGCATTTTACATGAAATGCTCCATTAGAGGAGAATTGGTAAAATGTAGCATTTTAACACTGTAGCACCTGTCAAAATATAGATTTGGCATGTGAAAATGACTTTTAGTATTGGAGATGGTCTTAGATGTACCAAACTAATTTAGTTCCAAGTACTTTATTTTGATTAGACTGAAGTTTTATTTTATTTTATTTTATTTTTTATATGTCTAAAAGTATATATATTAACTTCAACCTTTTATCCTCAAGATTTTTCGGATCAAAATTTTTTATTAATTAAACTTGCACATATAATCACATATATCTAATTATTAAACATCAGAAGACAAATACTATAATGTTCATTGTTTCATCTTTGAACTTGAAATTTTAATTTTGTTCATAAATCTGGAGATATGATAGTGTCTCAAAAGAGTGCAAAGTAATCTTATAATTAAAAGGGTAGTTTTGGGAACTACAATCACTTTCTTTTCACTTTCATTCTTTCCAAACTCACAAAACAATATTTTCTCACAACTTTCTTGAAAAAATTTCTTGCTAACCAAATACATGATGGAAACTTGATTTTCTTTTCCTTTCCTTTCTTTCACTTTCACTTTCCATCAAAAATTTCTATCTAACCAAACGGACCCTTATGGTTTAAGGTTTTCTTTTCCTTACAAGTACTTTTGCTACAAAGGGTAGAATAAACCAATTCAATTATCAATAATATATTAGAATTCTCTGCGAATTTTCTTTAACTTTGTGGATTCAAAGTTACCCTTGTTGCTTGTGAACGCTTCATAGCTTTCGCTACATCAATTTTTTCCCTGGAGAAACTTTCTGAAAAATTACTCTTGCACAGTACCATTTATTTATTTTATTACTCTTTAATACTACATTTTTGTATGTTATCATACATATTTAATTATGATCTCTTTCATTTATTATTTTACAGGGGCATACGGGTTGTGTTAATGCTGTGGCTTGGAATTCGAAAGGGTCACTTCTGATATCTGGTTCTGATGATACACGAGTATGATACATTTATATATGATTTGATGATCCATTGCATGTTTTATCTTCAAATGGGATTTTACTAACCGTACAAAGCTGTTTACAATACCTTAACGGCTAACAGAACTAAACTGTGGGATGGATCACGCATAGAAAAAGAGAGTCGCTGACAGGTGAGGATGGATTACATGGATGGGGGCAAGTTTACTCTTTGTAATGGAAAAATACTACAGAAACCATGGTGCAAAGTATTAAAATAGAAAACTCGTGAAATGGGAATGAGCTGATAATGTATTCAACTCTACAAAGCATTTTCCCAACTATTTGGGGTCGGTAACATGGATCATGTTTCACCATTCCGCTCTATCTAATGCCATAGCCTCAATTAAACCACAATGTTATCATATCTAAGGAGCTGAAAGTATGTTTCGGTAAAATACAAGATAACAAAGAATTCTAGATACTTTAAAAAGAAAAAAAATCATTGTAAAATGAGAAAATACAATAGCTTTCAGATGAAATTGTTGGAAAATTGCTGTATTTCTTTAGAAATTATGTAATATATCCTCGGACTTTATTTTTTCTGTAGGTTATATAAATGTTTCTCTTCCCTGCATTCCCCTCCTCATCATTATTATTTTTTAAAAAAAAGTCTAGTAGCTGTCGGATAAAATTCTGACTGTGTAGTTGATATCTTTTAAGAAATCATATAACATATCGTTGGAGTTCCTTTTCTCCTTCTATAACAGTTACTTTTTGCTGATTTATGAATTGGCATATGACCCATTTTTGCATGATTTAAGTGGTAACTGGTAAGTACATGATCTGATCCAATGTTTTAATTCCATTGCTTGATGTCTCGGTATAAGATGTGATTATAAGTTTTTCATTTACTGACTATCTATCCCAACCTTCCTCCTTTTTCTGCATTTGGGTTGGGTTACGTGAGAGATGAGAGTAAACGTGACTTTGGAGAAGTTAGTAAGCAAAATTGATAGTGTATGAAATTTCTGTGTGTGGTGATGGGTTTTAATGTTTTTGATGTCACTATTCTCAATGTATTGAATTTTCTAAGGTGGCTATTTTTTTATGGATGACTTCTTGTGGAAGATAGTTTATATGGGTTATATGGTTTGGAACTTTGGACACTAAAATTACCCTTCAATTGGTTTGTAATGTGCAAAGAGGTGGGGTGAGTGAACCTCCTCTTCTTTTTCCTCCTCCCAAACAATTATTGTTTGCTCTTTTCGGTACTATGAGGGAATAAGGTTGGGAGGAGGAAAAAGAAGGCATGGGATTCTGCTCCTCCTTGCTTCATGTGGTGCACCTGTGGATTGTGGATGGAAATTTAGAGCTTTCAAGTGTATGGAGAAGAGGGTTTACAGACTGAAGAGCAATGCTTTATTGTTGTTTTGTTCGATTAATGGGAAAGGTGTGTTTTACCTCGATATATTTATGAGTAGTAGGTGCATCGCTCTATAAACAATCCTAGATAGAGGAACTTATTACGAGTTTAGATTATAATCATTAGATATCAATATAATGCATACAAAAGGTATTCAGTCCTTATCTAACAAGAATAGTTCCCTGAGGGGCCCGCTGGGGGTAGTCACACAGCTTCAAACTACCTGCTAACTCACTAACTCAAGCTCAAAATGTCACAACTGATGGTCAAACACTGAGTGGCTGATTGATCATTTCTTTTTAAAGTTCAGCAGTAAATCTGTTGTTGAAGGGTTTGAACATGCTTGTGTGGGGCTGAAATTCATAAATACTTAATTTTTTGCAGATTAACATTTGGAGCTATTCAAGTCAAAAGCTTTTGCACTCTATTGAAACTGGGCATGCTACCAACATATTCTGTACAAAATTTGTTCCTGAAACTTCTGATGAGTTAGTGGTCTCTGGATCTGGAGATGCTGAAGTAATGATGTTATACAGTCTTGTTATTTGTATGCAGTTCAATATTTTGGTAATCTGAATTAACTGAATCTCAATTTTATCGTTGGCAGGTTCGGGTTTTTAATATGTCTCGATTAAAAGGGAGAGGATCTGAAGAAATTGCTATAGCTCCATCAGCGCTGTTTCAGTGTCACACTAGGAGAGTGAAAAAGTTGGCTGTAAGAACTCACTGAACTCTCTTAGACGTTGTTTATTTATGGAAATAATTAAAAATAAAAATTGGAAGCACAAATGTTTCACATGTAATGAATATTAAAATTCATTTTTTGCTTCTGCATCTCGGTATATTTTACTGCTGTGTTCCTGTTGCAGGTGGAAGTTGGAAACCCTAATGTAGTATGGAGTGCAAGTGAAGATGGGACTTTGAGGCAGCATGACTTTCGGGAGGGTGCATCTTGTCCACCAGCTGGATCTTCTCATCAAGAGTGCCGCAATGTTTTAGTAAGTGTTGTATTGTTCCTCTTGTATACCCACTTATCTTCCCCTCCCATTCTTCTTGTGTAACTTGAACTCTTAAATACATTTATGATTGCATATTCTAAATGCTATTGAAGAACCCCTTGCTTCTGTTAACAATATATATATATATATATATATATATATTTTCTGTTGTAAAAACCTATAACTGTATATTCAAATAACACACTTGCATATGACTAATTGATTTCAAATCATCCATTTGGTTAGCTTCATTTGCTTGAAAGAATCTGTAGTGCTTCAATATGTTGATTAGTTGCTTGCTTGCAGCAACTGTACATAATAGTATGGGTGCTATTTGTGTGGTAGAAGTGAGATAATCAATATACTTAGTTTGGTAAAGCTTAAAACATTTGAACCCTGGGTTATTGACATGGTAGCAAAGCAAGAAGTCCTGTGTTCGATTCCCATCGCTTCTGAAGTACTATATTATTTTGTTCATGTAATGCATTATTGCATTTTTTTTCACATGTTTTAAGGCTTTTGTAGTTGGTAATCCATGGCAGACTATGCTTTCCTAGTTATATGGCTGAACTGCAATATAATAAGTGTTACCCCGGTGGGTTAAGTTGTTGAAATAGGGAAATAGGTTAGTGCTTGTAAACAATGGATTCTAAGCCTTAGGTTGAGACTTGAGATTTAGGTAAATTGAAATGTTGTGAAGACTCTGGGCTCTAAGATATGATTAAGAAAGAGAAGCTATTACACAGAAGAGAAAAAACAAGGTGCAGTGGTTAGGGTGGTTATGATGCAGAGCGAGAGAAAGTTGTAGTATGAGTTGTTGAAGACACCAGGATTGGAGCCTTGTTAAAGAGAAAACTGCTTAAATTTAAGTGCTCTTTTCAATGAAATAAGTTCGGTGAATGATTCATTGTCCAGGGACTTGGGTCCTCTAAATGCAAGTGTGAAGCTAAGGTCTAGTTGTGGTCGAAGATAAACGAAGGGGTGATTATGTTGACATGGTTGTCTAGGCTGGTAATTAATTCTAGGTCCTCTTTGGAACCTGTAAGACGCCTCCATGATCTAGGATTGTCTAGTCAAGTTGAAATAAGATGCAGTCGAGCTATAGCGTTGGCGATTTCTGCTACAGTGGTGGCCATGATACCAAACTTCCTCCATAAGTCTTTCTTTGGTGCAATGAGGTGCCTGCATACATCAACGAGCGATCCTCATGGTGGTGATTTTGCTCGGTCAACTGAGTCTATTCATGCAGTTGCGCCATACATCATCTTTGTCCAGGTAGTGTCTCTTTTAGATTCAGTTCAATGTTGTGCTGCGAAGGAAATTGGACGATCTCCGAATCTCAGACACCAATCCACAAAACTACTTGTTCTCTAGATGGGCTATGTAAAAGACCTATATCTTTGTACCTCGAGTTGGACTATGACGAGTTAGCCACATTTTCCTGAGCTGTGCCACATCTGTGCACCTCAGCGTTAGCTGTAGCAATTCATCTGTTGCATTGAGCCGTGCTCCCTTAAGTTATGCTTTTACTTTTTACATTGTAAGATTTACGTAAGGAATAAGGATGCCCTTATATAGTCTTTGGAGTTCCTGCAGATGTTCAAGTGAGGGCGAGACTAGTCTATGGGGAAGAGGTTCTGGCGATATAGGAGTTGGATACAAGGGTCGTAAGAAAGAAATCCTTGTATTAGATGTAATTTGATAGGGGTTCCTTTGTTTGAGAATGACATGGAGATTTGTTCTGAACTATAATTTGCAGCAAACTGTGTCTTACTAGAGTATATTACATATAAGAAAGATTAAGAAAGGGATAAAGAGCTAGGAGAGACACTCTACTCCTTGAGGATTTGTTTAAGATCCACTTTTTAGTGATTGGAGAGTTCTGCACTAATCTAAACACAGCAAACCATTCATAAATCTCATATGGTTTAGAGAGAACCCATATTTGCAAATGTGAAAAAACCTATGACATGCCAAAACCTTCCAAAGTTTGCTCCTATCATTATTGTAACCAAACATGAGTGAAACACTGCCAAAAATATAAAGTTTTTAAGCTAATAATTAGCTGGAAGAATTAAAAGACTCCTAAGCCAACTTAATTAGAAACTTTTTCAATGACTCAACTAATCCTAACCAAGAATAGGAATTTAGAAAACCTACAACAAAACGACTATTGAACCTAGCCACCAAATGATCTTAATCCTTAAAATCATTAATTCATCATGGCACTGATGGTACATTAATTGCTTAATTTTGCTTTCCCCTTGATGTCTCTGTTATCAGTTGGTGAAGCTGTATGGCTGTATTTTCCAGTTGGCTGATAAACCGTTGTGAATTTAGTGGTAGCCGTTGGTTTTCCCCTTTTTGTTTAATCATAGTTTGATGAAGCTTTGAAGTACTTATGGTGCTCCTTTATTGTTTTCATTTCGTGCCGGAATTGTTGATCTCGTATGCATTTGGTTTCATTCTTCCTCCACCCATCCCGAATCTAAAAGTTTTGATATTGTCGTTTTTCTTTTCACATTTTTAGTACTTGATGGCAGCTTGACTTGCGGTGTGGAGCAAAGAAATCATTAGCTGATCCTCCTAAGCAATTGCTTGCTCTGAAATCTTGTGATATCAGTTCCACCAGGCCTCATTTGCTCCTCGTTGGTGGGAGGTATCTCGTTGTGGTTAATGTTATTTGGACAACTACTAATTTCTTTTCTATTTCTCCTGATTATTGTCTGTGAATTCTTGCAGTGATTCGTTTGCTCGTTTATATGATAGACGGATGCTGCCTCCACTCTCATCTTGTAGGAAAAAATTGTCACCACCTCCTTGTGTTAACTATTTCTGCCCGATGCATCTTTCTGATCGTGTTAGTTTTCTGGCAGTACTACCATTTCTTATTAATCCTAGTCTTTATTTTATTATTATTGTTTTTTGTTGAAATTATAATAAATTTAATGTATTTTGTGTTGTTAATTGGTATAATGCTACGTATTTCATCTTCTTCATCTCATATAGTTATTTCATTCTGATGCAATAGCATACTATATATTTTGAAGGGTAGTTGGGTTGGGTTCGTCTTTATTTTTTTAACCCTCTCTTCGGAGATGTTTAATCCAGTTATATCTGGTGAAAGACGTTTCTGTGTCCACTCTCTTTTTGTTCCTGTTTAGATGTGTTTCAAAACATGGTCAACCCATTAATGTTTATCCGGGGACTTCATAGATTTGGTTTGTTTCGCTGAAGCCATTGTTTCTCAATTTGGAGTTGCAATCATGGTTTGGAGTGGGCATGAAGTAAATGAGGGAAAAATAATAAAAGAATGTAGTATTTTTCCAAGCTCGCGACTCTTGGAGGGTTACTCCTTTGTGTATCTGGTGGTGTCTATGGCTTGAAAGAAATAGGAGATCATTTGAAGGAAAGGAAAATCATGTTGGGTCGTTGAAATTCTCCATCCTTAGCACCCTTTTTTGTTGGGTTTTAGGAAGAAATTGTAAATCCTTGGATGAGCTTGTAGAGTTTTTGAATTGTAAATCATTGGATGAGCTTTTGAACGCTGTTTTTTGAGGGACGCGTTCCCCTTTTGAACGCTTTTATTGAATTTTTTACTTGTCAAAAAAAAAAAGTCCCATATTTCATGCTTGAAGAGCATCATCTTTTTCAGTGGTATTATAATTGTAATGATCAGCATCTTCACTATTATGGTCTTATTTTATTTCATCATAGTGTCTTATATCTGGGTACTCTCCCTCTCTCCCTCTCTCTCTCTCTATATATATACATACATACATATATATATATTATGGTGTATATGTTTGGTTCAAGCAAATAGAGTTCATAATCCTATAGCCATTTGATGTTAGGACACTTAAATGCATAACAAAGCTTTTTTTAAATATTTCGGTAGTGCTAGTTTTTAACGGAGTGCTTTTTAAGAATATTGCTGTATATTCCCACTCCCCCACCCCCGGGTAGATAAAAGGTAAGGTCAAAGTTACTAGAGTATGTTGAAGGTCCTAGTTGTTATAGGAATTGTATCCGAGTGAAAAGAAGAAGTTTTGGGTTTTGGCTTATTACTCAAACTGAGAGTCCAGAGCTATATTTATATACAAGAATAAGGTAACCAAATCAAAGAAAAACAGGAAATATTTCAAAATCTATGTGATCCCATTATTATGGGGATCTTATTTACTTGATTCCATGATTACGGGGATCTTATCTACGTGATCCCATGATTATAGGGATCCTACATAAAACATCTAATAAAAGGCTAAAAACAACTAATAAAAATAAAAATAATAATAAAGATATTTCAACATTCCCCCTCAAGCTGGAGTGAAGATAGCAATCAAGCCCAACTTGGTAATCGAGGAATGAAGCAAAGATGGACCAACGGATTTGGTGAACACATTGGCCGACTGATTAGAGGACCGAACAAAGCACGACTTGATAATTCTCGAACGGACCTTCTCTCTGATAAAATGAATGTCCACCTTTATATGTTTAGTTCTCTCATGAAGAACAAAATCTAAAGCAAGCATGATGGCTGACTTATTATCACAAAACAAGTCTGAGTATTGTTTGTCACTTAGCCCTAGCTCCTTCAAGAAAGATCGAAGCCAGAGAATCACACAAGTACCCTGAGCCATGGCACGATACTCAGCTTCTGCTAAAGATCTCGAAACTATAGGTTGCTTCTTACTTTTCCAAAATATAAGATGGTCTCCATAGAAAGTACATAAGCCAGATGTGGAACGTCTGTCAGTCTTGGACCTAGCATAGTCTGCATCATTGAAATATGATAGCCCAACCTGCTTGTTAGAAAAATAGAATAATCCAAGTCTAGGACAGGACTTAAGATATCGAAGAATATAATATACTGCATCCATGTGAGCTACACGAGGAGCATGCATAAACTGGCTCACAACACTAACCACAAAAGCCAAATCAGGACGGGTGTTGGAAAGATAAATCAATCTTCCTACCAAGTGCTGATATTGCGAGGGATTAGAAAGGAGATCTCTAGACTCAACCGAGATCTTCAGATTAGGATCCATAGGAGTGGAAACAGGTTTACACCAAAACATACCCGTATCTCGAAGAAGATCCAAAACATACTTCCTTTGCGATAAAGAGATACCCTGCTTAGATCTAGCAACCTCAATTCCCAAGAAATATCTAAGAAATATCTGAGCTACCCAAGGTCTTTCACATCTAAAGCTTCATCCAATTGAAGCTTTACTTGAGCAATCCCAGTGATGTCATTGTCAGTAATGATGATATCATCAACATAGACAAGAAGAATGATACATCAACCAGTAAAGGAACGGTGGATAAAACATGTATGGCCAGAATGGCATCTAACAAACTCCATGGATAGAATTATATCACAGAAGCAGCTGAACCAAGCTATGGGAGATTGTTTTAACCCATACAAAGACTTCCGTAATCGACAAACCTTTCCAACATACTCTCCCTTAGCCCGAAAACCGGGTGGAGGATCCATGTAAATAGTCTCAAGAAGATCACCGTTAATGAAAGCATTCTTCACATCAAGCTAATGAAGAGGCCAATTGTGAGAGGCAGCCAGGGAGATGAGTAAACAAATCGAGGTCAATTTAGCCATTTGAGCGAAGGTATCATTGAAGTCTTTACCAGGAATCTGAGTAAACCCTTTGGCCACCAAACGGCCTTATATCGATTAGTAGAGCCATCGGCCAGATATTTAACATTGAATACTCATTTGCAACCAACAGTCTTTTCACCGGGAGGGAGAGATACAAGCTCCCATGTTTCATTATGCTGCAAAGCATCCATTTCTACCTTCATAGCCTCAAACACATTTTTGGGAATGGAAATGGAATCAAGTTTGCCTATAAAGGCTCTGTAAGACCCTGAAAGACCATTATAAGAGATGTAATGTGAAATAGAATGATCAGTTGTACAAGCGAATCCAAATTGAGCAGGGGTTTGAGGTCCCGAGTTGGATACCGAGACTCAGGAACAGGGTCAAGGAAATGAAAAGAGAGAGAGGAGATGTACCTGAACCTGTATCTGAGGAGGATGAAGGCAATGGAGGCGGAGAACGAGGGCGGCGAGAATAGACCGCAAAGGGGCTGAGGAAACCACAAGAGAAGGCTCTTCTTGAAAAATAGGAAGAGGATGAGTAAGAGGAGAAGCCTCTTGATCAGGAGTAGAAGTTTCCTATAAGATAGTGTTAGAACCATAAAAGGGGTATGCTCATGAAAGGTGACATCAAGAGAGTAATACATGTGTTTGTGTACGGGATCATAACTTCGGTGTCCTTTTGACATGGAAGAGTATCCTAAAAAGATACATTTAATGGCCTTGTCATCAAGTTTAGTACGAGAAGGGCTACGGTTCTGAACAAAACATGTATATCTAAACATCCGAGGCATGATGTAAAAAAGAGTAATATCAGGCTGAAACACTTGTAAGGGGGCCTTATCATTTCATACTTTACTGGGGGTACGATTAATGAGAAAAGTAGCTGTAAGAACCGCCATGTGCTAGTATGACTGGCACATTCATACCACTTAAAAGACATCGAACAACCAACATTTGTTGGCGGTTTTTACGCTCACCATTCTGTTCGGGGGTATATGGACAAGTAAGCTAATGAAGAATACCCTGTTGGTTAAGTTGAGACCGAAACTCATTGGAAACATATTCACAACCATTGTCAGACCTAATATATCTAACAACAGTTTTAAATTGAGTTTTGATCATTTGGAGGAATTGAGTGAACAAGGGAAAAACTTAAGATTTCTTTTCAAGTAAATATACCCATGTGCAATGGGAATAATCATTAATGAATGTGACATAATAACGATGCCCCAAAAAAGCGGTAGCATGAGGACCCCACACATTAGAATGTATGAGATCAAACATACTAGGTGCATGATGCATATGAGAAATATATCTGGTTCTAGTATGTTTAGAAATCTCACATTGAAACTTATTATCCTTACAAGCCGTTATTAATGAAGGGAAAATCATACATAAATACTGAAAGTTTACATGCCTAAGGCGAGCATGCCATAAATTTAAAGTCTGAAAAGAAAAATCATAAGATCTAGAAACTGGAAGAATAGAGGCTTGAAGGCTTGGAGCAAGTGGAGAAGGTGTCGGTGGAGGATCCCTAAAGTAGTAAAGGCCATCGTGCTCATATCCCCTGCCAAAAATCCTCTTCGAACACAGGTCCTATAAAACACAGTAATGAGGAAAGAAAATCACTGCACAGTTTAGTGATTTGACAAGTTTGCTATCAGATAGAAGTTTAAATGCAAAGTTAGGAACATGAAGAACATATGGCAAATATGGCAAAATAATATCAGGGGATAGATGTTCTCCTTTACTACGAATAATGGTGGGTGACCCATCGGCTAGACAAACAACTTGATTAACAGGGATAACAAGAGTAAAAAATAATGACAACTCACCAGTCATGTGATCATTGGCTACAGAATCTAGAACCTAAGTAGGTTTTCCCGCTTTAACATGAAAAGCAGAAGAAGTACCTGTAGCTATAGTAGCCGTGGGAGTAGAACAGCCAGCCCTGGTAGATAAAGCTCCAAACTGCTCCTAAAGGTGACCGATCTGGGACTGTAACTGATTAAAGTTCTGAAAAGATGGTCTAGGAGGAGTTGAAGTAGGAGGGACAACAATCTGTGGAGTAGTATACCCACCAATAGTACCTGTTATTGCGGCAGTGCGGCCACGGCCAGAAGGACAATTATGAGAAAATTTATGCTTTAGCTTGGGATGAAAGCAGCGATCCTTTACATGACTCGTGGTTTCACAACATTGGCAAATAACTTTTTTCTCACCAACAGGCCTGTGGTCTAGCGGTACCAAACTCCTACTTCTCAAAGAGAGGTCAGGGGTTCGAACTTCAGTGGAGGCATGTGTGTGTGAGTACCAACTAGGAAAAAAAACAAATAACTTTTCCCTCTGAAAGTCTATAATTAGTGGCAAGAGCCATCTAATCAACTGGAGTCTTTGGTAAAGCTACTGGATGAGAGATCTGACGTCTATGCTCCTCAAGGTCAACAGTAACGAAAGCAACATATAAATCAGGCATAGGAAAGGGGTTTATGATCTGAGTTCTAAGAGCATCATACTCGTATCGTAAACCCATAAAAAACTGGTAGGTATGTTGGCGGTCCAGTCTCTTGACCAAAAGAGTTGTAGCTTTTTCAGAGAAGTCGGGGGGAGGCTCATATTGTGCTAATTCTTCCCACCTAGACTGGAGGTACCCAAAATACTCTGATAATGACAGCTTGAGTGTCTCCTGAGATGCATGAGCAATCTCATGATAACATTCAAAGATTCGAGCGTCATTGCGGGAGTGGGCATACATTTTGTTAAGGGCTTGCCACAGACGAAAAACGGAATTGTGAAACATTAACATATTATAGATACGCTCCTCCATTGAGTTGAAGATCCAACCTAGACATATTATAGATACGCTCCTCCATTGAGTTGAAGATCCAACCTAGAATGGTGCATCTGTCCATGTCCCATGCAATATATTTAGTATCCGTCTTTTCCGGTTCCTTGACTAGACCTAAAAACTAACCAGTTTTCCCTTTCCCTCTAATATAGAGTTGAAGAGAACGGGACCAAGATATGACTTTTCGTCCATTTAAGAGCACACTAGTAACCCGTTGCGCCGGAGTATGTTTTGCCGAAGATAAAGTGTCCTTTTGGCTCCTAGAATCACTCATAGTACCAAAATAAGGCTGGTCCACACATCAAAGAGGGAGGAAAGAAAAAAAATAAGACTGGAAAAATCGGTGCTTTCCTCCAAATATGCTATTGAACAAACACCGGCAGCCCACAAAAAAAAAAAAAAAAAAAACCCAGAAGGACCTTTAGGTCATAAACAACCTAAGGGAATTCTCCTAAAAAAAGGAGTCATAAACAAAGGGTTACTCCTCTACTATGTGCGCAAGCCTCTGTTGGGGTTGCCACACCAAAAGAGAGAGAGGGTTTTTTTGGGGGGGGGGGGGGGGGGGGATGTAGGTGTGTCGGAGGTGAGGGAGAGAAGAGGGAAGGAGGGAGAAGGTGGCGACGTTGGGGAATGAAGATGAAGAGGCGAAGTTTTTTATGTTTTTGCTCTGATACCAAAAAGAAGAAGTTTTGGGTTTTGGCTTACTCAAACCAAGGGCCAAGAGTTATATTTATATACAAAATGGGGTACAAAGAAAGGAAACCAATTCAAAGAAATATACCAAAATCTATGTGATCCCATGATTATGGAGATCTTATCTACATGATTCCATGATTATAGGGATCTTACATAAAACACCTAATAAAAGGCTAAAAACTGCTAATAAAAATAATAATAATAATAAAGATATTTGAACAGAGTGCTAATAAGGCAGGTGGTTTTGAAGTATTTTAATGTGCTTTTAGGTTTTTTATGAGGACAGCGAACAAGCTGTTATTGGTGTGAAAAGAGGGGATCCCGGAAATGAATAGATTAAACAAAAAAGAGAACTTGGAAAAGCTACTCTCTTTCCATACACGTGTAGGAAATCACAGAACTACATACATAATGTATTTCCAAATGTGCATGTCCGCTTCTTCCTCACCCTAATTCCATCCCAATGTCATGTTGATGTAACATTAGTCCTTCCATGAATCATCATCAGTTTTTTATTTTAACCCTGGAAGCTTCTTTGGGTAGGGAGATGGTTTGAGTTGCTAATTTCCCTTTCAGCTTATTCCTTTTCTAACTCATCATTTAATTCTCCATCGTCGGCTCAAGGTGGTGTTGTGGGTTTCTGATTCATGAATCATCAGGTTTTCTTTTTCCAGCCAGTAGCATCCAAAGAAATAGTGTTTAGGTAATCTGCCGCTACCTGATTTGATGGGAATGTGCCTGGGAAAATGTCCTGCAAAGGTTGCTGAAACTTCTCGAGAAAATAGCTCTTGATAATAACCTAATTCTCTTTGTTAACCATGTCAGTGTTGCACCGAATTTGAACACTTTGAGATGATACTCATTATGACAGGTTATCTCACGAGTTTCCTTTTCCATCCCACAATTACCTGTGTTCTGAACTCTATAGTGACTATTAATCTTCCAAAGCCATTGTAGCATAAGGATTTAGTGTTGGCATGTCATCTAAAGATGGAGAAGTGCAACTAAGAGTGCAATTATTACCATTGATAGAAGAAAAGTAAAAGTATTGATTATTTGACTAGACATAATATAAATGGGGGCGAATTGCAAAAAATCCCCCCTGACTATTACTCATTTGCAAGAAACCCCCTTTGTGAATGTTTTTGGCAAGAAACCCCCCTCAACTATGAGGAGGGGGTGATTTAACTTACCTCCGTTTAATAATCTTGTGAGCTAATTTTTTCTGACCAAATTATCCTTTGGGTTAGTTGCTTCATTTGGGTCTTCTCCACTGATTGATTTGATATATATATATATATATTTTTTTTTCTGTTCATCTCTACCACTTTTTTTTGTTTTCTTTACTTTAGTCGGCTCCCTTACCAACCAGACATAATTTTAGGAGAAAGAATGAAAAACATACCACTGCCTCTGATTATAATTTCAAATCATATATAATTAACTCCGATGAAATCCTAAAGAATAGAGCCATTGGAAGAAAGAATTAAAAATCTAAATAATTGAGGCCCATTAGTCTCTGATTATAATTTCAAATCCTATTTTGAACCCAGATATCCTAGGATAAGCATCATGGTTCTGGAAATTCTACTTAAAAAAGAGATTTATGGAGAACACCAATGGAAAAAATCATGGGGCTTAGTTCGGACCGATCAAAAGAAAGTGGTTACTCATTACTCGGACTTACGCAAGATCAATTCCAGATCTTTCGGTCGCTTTTCCATCAACATGCTCGTTCTCCATGGACTTATATTCTCTAATGGCTGGCAAACTTCAAAATTAGAGGCAGCTGTGTTTTGAAAAAAAATCAGTTCTCAAAATGGTTTCTACATCAACCATACAATTAAATATAAAGCACTTCCAATGGTGATAAATAAATTAAAGGTGCCTTAAATTTTTTATTTTTTTCTCACTTGGTGAAGATCCAACCGAAGCTAGACCCAGATGTAAGGGTAATTTGGTCAGAAAAAAATTGGCTCAGAAGATTATTAAACGGAGGTAAGTTAAATCACCCCCTCATAGTTGAGAGGGGTTTCTTGCCAAAAACATTTATAAGGGGTATTTTGCAAATGGGTAATAGTTAAGGGGAGTTTTTTGCAATTCGCCCTATAAATGGTCCTGCTGCATGGTGTTTCAGAAATTATCCCCTTTTATTTTGAGACAATCTTAATGCTTGGACTAGTATGTGGGGGAAATCTGCTCAAGCACCCATAGGGCCATAACGTATGTGTGCCACAATTATGTAAAAGATAAAAAGTCTCAGAATGAAACCAGTGCGCTCAGACTTTAAAATAAGCTGCCAATTATATTGCCAGTAAAATTGACAACAGTTACTTGAATACTCGTGTTTTTTTACAGATGCAGTTAAATACATATATGTGTGTGTGTGTGTGTGTGAACACATGATTGGTAGTGTGTTTTTTTGTATGTTTAGTGAAGAGAAATATTTCCTACTGAAATTCATGCTTTGATTTGAAATTTGTTCCACTCTTGTGACATGATGTTTTAGGAATGGGAAAGTGAAATGTGTAAAAGTCATGACTTTGCATGTGAGTCTGAATGTGATTCAAGTGTCCTGTACTCTGTTCTTTTAATTCTGCCAGAACTCAATACTAATAGTTAATCAATTCATATATGTTTTCTTTAGTTCTTCTTTAAGTTCAGACCGGAAGCTTTCAATAAAAGTTGACTTTCTCATGGAAAAAAATGGAAATATATATGTATATATCTTTGCCAAAGTCTAAACAGCCTTACTGCTGTTCTAACATTCTCTCCTTTTCTTTGCAGGGTCGTTCTAGCTTGCACCTAACTCACGTTACATTTAGTCCAAATGGAGAAGAGGTTCTTCTTAGTTACAGTGGAGAGCATGTATACCTAATGGATGTAAATCATGGTATTTGATGCAATCAACAATTTTGACTTCATGATTATTTATAATAATACTTTCATTCTTTTGTTTTCTATCTTCTCAAGTGAGGTACTCATTTATTTCTACTGTAGGGGTATATAAAACCTACATAAAAACTGTACGTGGTATAAAAAGTTTTAAATTACTGTTCTGCATGAACAGGTGCTTTTTACTATGAAAAATAACAAAAAAGAAAAAGATTTGACTGGTTTTCTTTACCGTGTTCCTCATTGTTTGTTCTTGCACAATTGGTTGAACATACCTGGTGGAGAAGAATACATCTATATCCAGTGCCAATTTTGTAAATTTCTTCTTTTGTAAAGTTCTTTGTGAAGAGGTAGTAGGTTCATCATGATGAATATAGTCGAAGATGTAAAATGATAGTAAGGGAAAAATTAGCCATTATTAATATTCTCCCTTTGGCCATATGAAATAAATTTATTTGTTATCAGATGTAGAAATACCCTCCTTGATTGCCTGCAAGGATAGCATTCAATTCTACTTTTTGCTCAGCTAAATTTCATGTTTTTTGTTTGGATCTTTTAATAAAATTTATATGCTTCTATACTTGCATCATATTGCAGCTGGTGGAAGTGCAATGCAATATACCTCGGGAGATTCTTCAAAACTTGTGAGCTTTACTCCCATGCTTAATGGGGTAGAATTGCAATCACCAGTTTACAGTGTCCTCTCGGATGGTTTTCCTTCGAATAGCAATGTTGCTGCCAGGGTGTGTCCTTGTGTTTTCACTTTTCATTATTCTTCTAGTAACCATGCCTCTTTGGTCTTGGTATAGGGATTTGTTTATCAATTCAAATTGTTCTTTTCTATCGTTTCCTTCTATATCATTTTGAGCGCCGTTTTTACAGCTTAACAAGTGCAGAAAATTGGTTCAAATTGCGGAAAATTCCTTGAAGGAGGATACAAATTATTTCTATGGAATTGAGGCTTGCAATGAAGTTTTGGACGGTCATGGTTCTGAGATTGGATCAATGCTAATGCATGAATGTTTGTGTATACACGCAGCCTTGTTACTCAAGGTCTTTTAAGTTACTTTGTGATTCGACTTATAGAATTTAAATTTAACTTATTATTAGTTTGAGGTTTAGCAATGAATGTAGTAAATTATATTTCTTTTTTAGCGGAAGTGGAAAAATGATGCTCATATGGCTATAAGAGATTGCCACAGAGCTAGGAGGATTGATTCTTCTTCGGTAAGGGCACTTCTTATACAGTCAGAGGCGTTATCGCAGGTAAGTTAAACTTTATACAATTAACCTATACACCATCTTGAACAATTCATTGCCTTGCTTATTGTTTAGGTACTAAAATATACCGAATGTATCACGCTTTCCACTAGGCTTTTACTCTCTCACACTTAGGCATTTGGTTGGCAAGAGAGAGTAATTCTATTATCATTTCTCAAAACAAAGAGAATACACTTGTGGCTCACTCCCACTCTTCGAGATTGTTCCTTACAAATGAAATTCTCACCCTACTTGTAGGCATTCTACCTACTCTCTGGAACTCTCCACATGAATGTTCTAGATATTTACAACACTACAAAATTCCCTACTATTTAAGAACATTCTACCCTCCCCCAATATCTACAACTCTCCAATATTTTAGAACCTTCCATCTCTCTCCAACACTTCATACTTCTCTACACAAATATGGAACATTCAAGAACCCAACTCTCCTCTAGCCACACCGACGCCATGTAGAGTCGTCAGCGCTCGTGTGGTGCAACCTCCTTTTGTGGGGTGTGACATTATACAGGTTTAGGGCCTTTTGTGGGGTGTGACATTGTTCGCAGGGTAGTTGGGATCAACAGTTGATGGATTGCACTAGCACAAATAAATAAATATAAAAAATTAAAATGAATTGAATTTTATTTTACTTTCTCAAGGGACTTAATTCAGAATTTTTTGAAGAAATTATTTCCCTCTTCAAACTCTTGGTAGTTCAACTATTTTTTTTTCCCTCCCTAGCAAGTTTAGGACATGACACATGGCTACCTCCAAATCTGTGTTTAAGCCCATTTACAGGGCCAGGCTGTCTTATGGGTCATACTGTTTTGAAGGTCACTGTATGAGAAAATTCCCAGCATCTGGGCCTTCAGGCTTCATCCATAATGAACTGAAGTACTCTCTTTTTTTCATTCTAAAATTGTGACTAGTCCTTGTTTATTATTTTATTGCAGCTTGGTAAACATAAAGAAGCTCTAGACTTTGCTATTGCGGCTCTAACTTTTGCTCCATCTGATTCTGAAGTTGCAGAAAGGGTGGAGAATTTAAGAAAGCATCTTGCTACAGGTTAGTGGCAATGCATTATTGATATGTTGCGCATCTTATTTATCCTCAAGTGGGAAGCCATACAGTTATTGCACGTCAGCACAGGTGCAGTGATGAGATGTGGATGTTCAATCTATTATTGAAATAACGCCTCTCTGTGTGGTCGCCATCACACATTTGTAATGAAGTGATGTATTTGTTGCATTTGTCTTATCGTTTCCTTATTGTTAACTACATAAAATAATTTTTATTGATGCCCGACTTCAGCGAGCTTTTTCAAGTCAATCACAATCAACATGACTTGTTTTACTACCTTGCTGGAATATGCATGTCTTTGGTTCATAGCTTTTGGAATTCTTTTTTAGTAAGTGTTTAGCTAAACTTTGTACTTGCTACAAACCTAACAGAAGTTCTCTAGTTGGGTTTGTCTTTCCAGTTGGTTAGATCCTACAAGTGTTAGAGGTGGAGTGTTTAGCTATGTTTTCCAAAGAAAGCTAGATTTTCCTGTGTGGGATAAGTACTTGATCCGATCAAAGGAAGATAAGTTTTATGGGGACAAAATGACCACAAATCGAGTACTGTGCATAAAAGAACGTGGAATTCTCACTATTTATATATGTATATATGGGGGTGGGGTGGAGAATTAGGGGGAAGAAGAGTTGCATCATTCAACTTGACTAGATCTTGGTATGCTGTTTGGAATGGGAGTTGGCCTTAAAGGAGAGATTCCAGAGTCCTCCAGGTTGGCTGTGGATACTGGATAGGGAGGCATCAATTGCTAAATATGCGACCTTCCTCAAGGGTGGCATAGTAACTCACTTTTCATATAGCGTTCCTGGATTGGGAGTTTGATACAATGAGTTCTCTGCTTGAATTGTTGTAGGGTCATTAATCTGGGTGAGATGGTGGGTTCTATGGGGTGATAGGGAGCTTTGATGGGAAATTGAGTGGCAAATCATTTTAAAAGTGCTTAGCAATAGAGGAGGTACACCATTTCCTTGGAATCACTCTAGGTGCCGTCTTAAAAATGGTTTCTTTGTGTGGAAGGTGGCTTGTGAAGCCATCTTGGTCATAGATAATATGAGGAAGAGGGTGATACTTACATGCAAGAGCATGAGGGAGAGTGTTAGTCACCTCTTACTTCAATATGAGTTTCCCAGGGAGATGTGGTGTCTTTGGTATTGCATGAGTTAATGCATAAACTGGTTGGATACTAGTTGGAGAATTGGGAAGGTGGATACGTTCGAATGGTTACTAGGAAGGTTTGAGATGTTGCCCCATTATGCATTCTGCGTGGTAATTGGAAGGAGAGAATTATTCTATCTTTTGAATAATTTTTGTTAAATTTGTGTGATTTAATTTTTTTTCATTTTAGTTGTTTCTTTTGTATACTTGCCATGATAGGAAGCACCCCATTTTTGGTGCTATTATATTGACTTTGTACATGTGACAATTTCTATTCAATTCTTCTTTTCTTTTTCTTTTTTTTAAATCAAAGTAAGTGTCTCTTAAAGTTTGAAATTATATGTGCTTCTGTCTTCATGCTTCCTTTGATAGCCGAAGCTGAGAAAGTTAGCAAGGCAACTGACGGAACACATGTGTCAGAACCTCGAGCTGGAAGAGTACTGTCATTGAGTGAAATACTTTACCGTTCAGAGGCAAATAGTGATGCTTCACAAGATGGTCCAAGGTCTGAAAGAGAAGATTCTGATTACGATGAAGAGCTGGAGTTGGATTTTGAAACGTCCATATCAGGTGATGAAGGGCGTGATGTTGAATCCAACATTCTTCATGGGAGTTTGAATTTGAGAATTCATAGAAGAGGTGATTCAGCTACCGAGGCAAGTTGTGCAAATGGCTCTTGTGGATCATCTATATCTCCATCCCAAAATGATAGAACGATTTATCAGGTTTGATTTTGCTTTTAAACATTCAGTGTTACATTCAGCTCTCTCCATATTAATAAATATAGAGGTGAAGCTTTTAGTTTTGAACTATTAATCTTCATCATTTTGCCCTTATCAGTCTGTCCCTTATGTAACTGGTATCATTGCAAAAAGGAAAATTTTTGCGTACCATATCAAGTGATCGAGGTTGTTGAGCACATGTTTTTCCTTGTCCACTTTTTGGTTATTTCTTTGTAATGTTTATAATTATTCCTTGATGAGGCGGTGGTTCTTATTTATTCTGGTTCATTCTACCTTCAAATTATGTATATGTGTGTAAAGTAAGTATGTTTTTCTTTAATCATCTTAATATTGCCTCTAAACTCACATTTTTATGCTCATATTTGCAGCCTGAGTCGGTGATAGATATGAAGCAGAGATATGTTGGCCACTGTAATGTAGGGACTGATATAAAACAGGCTAGTTTTCTCGGCCAGAGAGGTATATTTTGTTTTGGGTATTGCATATCATCTTTTTTACTTTTGGCTTATTGGCATATTCAAAAGTCATGTGAAACACGCCTATTGCAGTTCGAAAAAAGAGAGGAAGCGGTTAGAACAAATGCCATATAGTTGAACTTGCAGTTGCATTTATTATTTTTCTTTTTCTTTTTCTTTTTTCTGTACTGCTGGAAGAGTGCCTACATTGGAAAGTGAAACGACAAGACAGAGTTAAAATAATGAAGTTTTTGGCGGATGTGATGTTGTTACACATTTTCTGTCCATTACCACCATATAGAAACTTTATGGTTGCCCGCTTTATTGATTGCCATTTGCTATCATCCATTTGCTACCATGCGATTTATATGTTTCCCGGATGTCACCTGGGCAGGATTAGAGTTCAAAGTTAACACTCTTTTGTCATGAATGTTTGTTCATGGATTATCTTTTACTGAATTGCAGGTGAATATGTTGCTAGTGGAAGTGATGATGGTAGATGGTTTATCTGGGAAAAGAGAACTGGAAGACTAATAAAAGTGCTTCATGGAGATGGAGTTGGTAACATGTTACCTTCCTGCCCCCAATGAAATTAAAATGGATTCTAATAATGTTCTGTGCTCTCTTGTTTATTGTCAATGTCTCATCCATTTTCCTCTACAGTTGTGAACTGTGTGCAGTGCCATCCATTTGATTGCGTTGTTGCCACCAGTGGGATTGATAGCACTATAAAGGTTAGTATGGTGAAGGGATTTGTTGTTGGATGCAGCTATCAAGGTTAAACAGTTAACTGAAAGTAGTATATGGTTCCAGATTTGGACTCCAAGTGCATCTGTCCCATCCATTGTCAGTGGTGGAGCTACTGGACCAGAGACTGCAAATGTGTTAGATATTATGGAAACCAATCAGCGCAGATTATGCCGTAATCGTGAAGCAATCTTGTAAGTTCATCGAATTTTGTTTTTTTGCAGAGATATTATTATGCCACGCTCTATACACGATATTCGTGATTTCAATTATGATGCCAATGAAGATTATATCTTTTGTCTTGTGCTGTTTTACTATTTGTAACACATGCACATGTAGAAGCAGCTCAACTCGTCAAAGCCTGAGGCCTTCATTTCTAGATTAAACACATTCTTTTGCCATTTGGCTCTTCTTTGGTTGTACTTCCTTATGCGCTTAAATAATATGCCAACGATTCTCTCTTTGCTATTTCAAGTTTCAACTCACTTACCATGTAGACTTTCTACTACGAGTCACACCACCCATTGGAGTTGCTCATGGCAACACCATCTTAATCAGTTTTGACTTGTTTTCTCCTATCTTGTTATCACTTAATTCTCCTGAAAGTACACCTTTCTAATTGTTCTATTCTGTTGCCTTTCCTATCTCAACATTAATGTTTCTCTCTCCTCATTCTTCTCTCATGTTGCTTGCTTGTTGCTTCTTTGTTGCCTAACATAATATACGATAAAGTATGGGTTGTCTTGTAGTCATATATAACTTATTCATTAATTAAGCATGTCTGTCTACTGAGAAACTGGTGGGTTGTACTTCCCAAAAAAATAAAAAAATAAAATAGAAACTGGTAGGTTGTGAGAATTACATAACTCTTGATTTTAACCGAGGATACAGCTTTACAACGAATCAACTGATGATGGTGAGTAGTGGTTGCAATTCGTGTTGGCGTGTTGTGTTCGTGTCAAGGGTCTTAGACACGATTATTAATAGTGTCTAAGACCCTCGACATGAACACGACACGATTATTACACGGGTAACACGACACGACACGCGTAACCTGTTTAATAAATGGATCAAGATTTGACATGACACGAAAAAACACGTTTAAGTCATTTTTGACATGAACACGACATTTTTATTCTATACGTTTAGCTAAATGGGTCATTTTTTTACACAAACACGACATGTTTATCTGACACGCTTAGTTAATCGGGTTATTTGTGTCATAATCGTGTTTATTGGGTCAAACACGAACATGACACGTTTAGTTAGCGGGTCAATCTGTGTCGACACGATCACGACACGAACACGATTAGCCCAAACCCGAACCCTCTTATCTCGTGTCGTGTTAGCGTGTCGTGTCAAATATTGTCACCCCTAATGGTGACACATAATGTGGATCCATGAAGCCGTTCCACTTTGTGATGAGTTGTATGAGTCTTCAGATAGAATGATGTGTCGGTTATCATGCAGCACTCATGCAGCACTATTATACCGACTTTCTAATGGCAAACTGTATTCTTTATTCATTGCTGCCCACCAATTTATAATTATAACAGTAATGATATTTTATATGATGTGATTGCAGGCCCTTTGAGCTATTGGAGCGGTTTCGAATGCACGAGTTTAGCGAAGGAACCCTACATCCGTTTGAATGTGCACAGAGCTAATCTGGTCGTACTTAATTGCACAGGTGACTGACAATATTCTTTTCTATATTTGAAAATTGACAAATCTTTTTCATACTTTCAAGGACCCCGACCATCTCTTAGGGCTATATGCATCTAATTTTTTTTGTTTTTTTCCTAGTTGGTACTCACACACAAATGTCTCCTCGACTTGAACCCCTGACCTCCCTTTGGGAAGTAAGAGGTTGATACCGCTAGGCCATTGGCCCATTGGTTATGCATCTAAAATTAGAGACCAAGAGTTCTGTTCTAGGTTGGTATACCAAGGTTTTATACAAAATTCTATAAAATTCTAGGAGAATGTGATGAACAACAATTAACACACAGTTCTTATTGACAAGACAGAGAACAAAGAGAATTTCTGAAGAAAACTTGTCTGCCTTTCCCTTCAGGAGACTTCCTTTATATAATAATATTTAATATTCTATACAAGGAATCAGTGTTATTAAAGGCCCAAGGCGCACCAAGGCGCTAGAGGCCCTTTGGAGCCTAGGAGCGAGTCGCACGGCGAGGCGCGCGCCTGAGTGAAGTGAGGCGCACAATGAAAATTTAAACTACCATAATAACATTCATATCTCATAAGTCATATCAATATTCTAAAAATTAATATCAAATATAAAAAAGTAAATCCATCAATTATACAAGCATCCAACAACCATAAAACATAGCATAAATTTGTTTCTTGAAAGGCAAAGCAAATTGTGTTTTTTTGAATGGCAAAACAAAGCACAAAAAGAAATAAATATGTTAACAAAAAAAAAAATTTGTTAACAAGAAAAAAAGAAAAGAAAAGAAATAAAGAACTGACGTGGCTTCGTCGTTCATTTCTACAACTAGCGCTTCGTCTTCGTCTTCATCTCACAATCTCATTCTATCGTTGTTCGGTTAACACTTTGACTCTTGGGCATTTTTATTTTTTTATTCTTTTGAACAAAAGTTCCTTCTATAATATGATTGAACTTTCTTTTTTGTTTATTAAGTTGCCAAAAGTACCCTTTTTGGCTTAAGAAATAGAACAATCGTATTTTTTTAAACAAATATCAGTGAGGCGCGCCTAGGCGCCCCTCACACACAGGACGAGGCGCAACTGAGGCGTGTGCCTAGTAAACATCAGTGAGCCTGGGATGACAACAGGCGCTAAACCTGAGCCTGAAGCCTAGGCGCACCTTTAATAACGCTGCAAGGAATGCTTACAACAATTATATCCCAAGATTTTGGGTATCCACAAATAATATTCCTAACTACGAGCAATCTATAAATCATCTAAATTGGAATGGAATCCCTAATTATAAGCTATCTTACAACTCATCAAATCATCTAATTTTGGTATGCAGATCACCTCTTCTGATACCTCCCCTCAAATTGATGTTGGTGAATCCACAAGCATCAATTTGTCAACTAAGAACTGGTGACGAGTCTTAGTTAAGGCTTTAAAGAAAATATGTGCAGTTTGGAAATCTGTTGACACATGAAGCAAAGTAACGAGATGATTAACATAGGCTTCCCGAATACAGTGACAATCGACCTCTATGTGTTTAGTCCGTTCATGAAATACTGGATTTTCTGTAATCCGTATGGCACTTGTGTTATTAGCATGTAGAGTAGTAGGATTTAATTGAGAGAAACCTAATTCAGATATAAGATGATGAAGCCAAACAATTTCAGAACAGGCAGAAGACATGGCTCGATATTCTGCCTCGGTAGAAGATTTTGAAACTCATTTTTGTTTCTTACATTTCACACTAGGGAGCCATTGAGATACATGCACCACCCCGTTGTTGATCGACGAGAATCAGGACAACCTGCATAGTTAGCATGACTATAAGGTGTAAGTTGGAGGGATGAACCAGGTTTATAAAATAACCCATGCTCTGGAGTGCCGAGTAAATAGCGAATGATCTATTTAACAGCTGCAAGATGAAGATTTCGAGGTTGATGTATAAATTGACTCTTCAAATTAACTGCATAAGAAATATCTGGTCTTGTGATTGTCAAATAAACCAAGCTCCCAACTAGTCGCCTATATGTCGTAGGATCAGAGAGTAGTTGACCTTCATCTTTTTTAAACTTGACATTAATTTCAAGTGGAGTATCTACTGGAGTTGAGTGCTCGAGTCCAGCCAAAGCAATAAGATCTTTGGCATATTTGTGCTGATTAATAAAAATTCCATTACCTGACTGATGCACTTCAATGCCTTGGAAATACGCGAGGTTTCCAAAATCCTTCATGTGGAAAGAAGAGTGTAAAGAAGCCTATACTTGTTGAATGCCTACTGTATATGTACCAGTGATGATGATGTCGTCCACATATACAAGGAGAATGGTGATACCAGTTTCACGATGACGAAGAAACATAGAAAGATCATTGTTACTATGATTAAAAGCCAAATTGACGAATAATGTTACCAAACTTTTCAAACCAAGCTCGTAGCACCTGTTTCAAGCCATAAAGAGAGCGTCGTAGATGACATACATCTGATGTGGAATTGCTTGTGACACCAGGTGGAAGTCTCATATAGACTTCTTTTTTCAGATCACCATGTAAGAAGGTGTTTTTTACATCCATTTGAAAAAGTGGCCAAGATTGAGAAGCTACAATAACAAGCACTGTACGAACAATTGTCATTTTTGCCATAGGAGCTCTTCATAATTAATCCCATGCTCTTGCCCATTCTCGAGAGCGACCAAACGAGCTTTATATCGATCTAAGGAGCCATCAGATCTAAGTTTAACAGAGTAAACCCATTTGTAACCAATTGGTTTGTGACCAAGAGGACAACGAACAATATCCCAAGTATGATTTCTCCCTAAAGCTTCCAATTCTTCCTTCATAGCTTGTTTCCAACATGAATGTTGTATGGCCTGTGAATATGAGTTGGGAATAGATTTTGATGATAGAGTGGTCATAAGAATCAGGCGATTTGGAGGTTTGGTTTGGCGAGTGGATCTTTGAAGAGGAGGCGGTTGTGGACTTGGATCAGGAGATGGAGAGGAGTCACGGTTAGGACCTTCTCCTGCACCAATTGTTGTTTTACCTCGTCGCTTATAAACCAGCCCAGGTTTCAACCTTGTGAAAACGGAAGGATTACTAGTAAAGTCAAGAAGATAAGAAAAGGAGGACGGAGGAGAAGGGACATGAGTATTTGAAGAAATATTGTTTTTCAACAAAGACAACATTACGAGAGGCACGAATGCGACGGACAGAAGGATCAAACACAAAAAACCTTTTTGATGAGATGCATACCCAAGAACTGCACAACGAGCAGATTGCGCAGATAATTTGTTTCGATCTTGTGCAGGTAGATGGACATAACAAACACAACCAAAAACACGCAGTTGGTTATAGTTGGGATAAGCTTGATGCAAGCGATAATATGGAGATTGATGATGAAGCTTTGGAGAAGGCAATCTATTGATAAGATGCGCAGCTGTGGAAAGTGCTTCCACCCAAAAATGAGAGGGTACTGATGCATCAAGAAGTAGGGTCCGAGTAACATCCAAAAGATGCTTATTTTTCCTATCAGTTACTTTATTTTGTTAAAGAGTAGATGGACAAGTTCGTTGGGAAATGATTCCTTCATTTTGAATATAATTTTGAAATTCATTTTTCATATATTCGCCTCCGGAATTGGAACGAAGAATTTTGATGGATGTGGAAAATTGATTTTTTATACAAGCCAAAAAACGCTTAAAGGCATTAAAAACTCCAGATGTAGAATGCAAAAAATAAATCCATGCGTGTCGACTATAATGGTCGATGAAGGAAACAAAATATGTGTGACAAGAATGAGAGGGAAATGGAGCATTCCCCCATACATCAGTATGAATCAAATCGAAGCATTTTGTAGTAATGTCACCATGAATTGGAAAAGGAAGAGTGTTACTTTTACCCAATTTACAACTACTACAATCAAATGAGACATCATTGAAAGAAACAAGGTCTTTATTAGAAAACGAACCAGATTTCAACAAGAACAACAATCTTTTGGCATTAGGATGCCCCAATCATTTATGCCACATAAGGACAAAATAACGAAAACAAAGATTTATTCCTGGGATAGCTAAACAAGCTTAGAGGAAACAACCTTCCACATTTATGTCCCTTCCCGATCACTTTCCTCTACTCCTGATCTTGCACAATACATCCAGATGTAGAAAATGAGACTTTGCAGTTGTTATCAACCAATTAACCGACATATATAAGATTAGAGGTCAAACTTGGTGTATGATGAACATTATGTAATGGCAAAGAATGAGGGATATCACCAACTGACTTAATAGGAAGATGTTCTCCATTAGCAGTATGAATTTGCACATTTCCCACATATAATTTCACATTAGTGAGATGTGTTGAGGAAGAGGTCATGTGATTGGAACACCAGAATCAACATACCAAATAGGTGAGGAGGTAGTTTTACCTGTGAGACCAAGAGCAAAAAATGCAGAATGAATCATTTGTTGCACTACCTCTAGAGTTAAGGAACTAGAAGCAGTAAAAGCTTGAGGAGGCTGCATAGCCTGTAGTAGCAGAGTGAGAACCCACTGCGGTGGTAACATTAAAAGCTTGGGTCGTTCGATTTTGAGGTCGCTTACGACAATCAACAATTAAATGTCCAGACTTATTACAATAGTTGCAGAATATTTTCTTACATTGATTGGCTATATGTCCATATTCTTTTTTTTTTTTTTTTTTTTGATAAGTAATAATAATAATAATAATAAAAAGGCGTTCAAAAGGGGAACCCGTCCCTAATACAAAAGTGGAACCGGGGCTAAGGCGCCAAAGAATCCAGAAAATAATTAAATCATCAGAAGAGGAGCAAGAACTCCTCTTCACATAATTGAAAAGAGAACAAAGAATGTAAAGTTTCAGCATTGCCGTAGACGACTCCTTCCCTTCGAACATTCTACTATTTCTCTCCTTCCAGATGCACCACCATACGCAATGTGGGACAATTCTCCAAAAATCACGTACATCCCTTCTCACACGACATCCTCTCCAGACATATGCCCATATTCCTTACAACTATAACATTGTATTTTTCTCAAATCCCTTCCTTTAGCATGAGCTCAATAAGTTACATCTAGTGGATTGGTGCCAACACCTTTTTTGTTTAATTGCAGCTTGAGTCAAACAACGTTGTTCTTCTCGGAGAAGTTCACCAAAGCACACATCCAATGATGGAGAAGGATTTCTAGCCATTAGATTTGAGCGAATAAATTCAAAATCACTTCTCAATTTCATAAGTAATTGATTTCTTTGAGTAATTTCATGCACTTTTTGGCGCGATGGTAGCCCCTGACTTGGGATAGTAGCGTAAATTAGTTGCTTATATTCTGTCCAAAGATTCATGAATCCAGAATAATAGTCTTGAATTGACATATTCCCTTGGGAATATTCAGATATGTCCAATTCAAGCTGAAAACGCCTCCCAGAGTTTTCTTGATTGTAAATCTTTTTTAAGATAACCCCACATATCTTTAGCATTGGAATAAGGCCGCAAATTGAGTACAATATTAGAAAAATCTAACTAATTATCTTGGCATCATTAGACTCCAATTTAGCTATGCTAGCATTTTCAGTCCCAGCTTTTGGTTCTGGGATTGATCCATCTATATGTCCCCACAATTCTTTCCCTTTAACAAACATACATAATTGAAACTCCTAAGAAAAATAATTCTTCCCATTCAATTTAATGGGCAAGATTTCTGACTTTTCTAACATTCTGAAAAAAAAAAAAAAAACTTCAAACGAGACTCGAACAAAAGAGAATAGATGCATGAGAACCTGAGATGATACTAACTGCAATTCTTGACTGCAACTCAAACCAAGATTGTCACCAAAATGTTGCAACTCCTTAGCAACAAGACACCATAGTTTTTAACAAAACTGTGATGTATCTTATCAAAAGAAACTTAGAACGTCTTTTGTATCAAGCTAGGCTCTGATACCATGACAAGACAAAGAGAACAAAGAGAATTTCTGAAAAAAACTTGTTTGCCTTTCCCTTCGGGAGACTTCCTTTATATAATAATATAGTAGAAATACAATATAGAAGAAAAAGATGAGAAATATGTAAAAGGTTTGAATGAGATTTATAATATTCAAAGTCTTGAACAATATCAATCACTCATTCACAGCTCTAGTATTTATAGATAAAATAATAAGAACACATGCTCATATTATAAGAAAAGAAACTAAATCAAATCTCTGCTAGTATGGTAAGTCATTCCATAAATCATAACTATCATATATGCTAACATAACATAATCAAATCTATGCTAATATGGTAAGTCATTCCATAAATCGTGGCTATCATATATGCTAACACTCCCCCTCAAGTTGGTGCGTGAATTTTTGAAACACCCAACTTGGACAACGCATCTTCAAACACGGTCTTGCTAGCACTCTTCTTCAGAATCTACAAGTTGCAGAGTGCAAATCTGACTTGATTAAAAATGTTGATCAACAAACCAAAAATGTCTCCTCAGACCATAAACAATTAATAATGTCTCATCAGACCGTAAACAACCAATCACGTCTCCTTAGACCGTAAACAACCAACAATGTCTCCTCAGATCATTCCCCTTCACATGTTTAAAACATGTAGATGGAAGAATCAACAATATCTCCTCAAACCAGTCCCCTTTATACAATATGTTTAAACAATGTAGAAGAAAGAATCAACAATGTCTCCTCAGACCATAAAAAAGAAACAACCATGTCTCCTCAGACTGTTTCTGAATGGGTGGGTGCCGAACTCGCAATGCCCTCATTGCAGTCGGACCACCCCGACTCTAATACTAAGTAGAAATATAATATAGAAGAAAGAGAAGAGAAATATGTAAAAAGTTTGAATGAGATTTATAATATGCAAGGCCTTGAATGATATCAATCACTCATTCACCGCTCTAGTATTTATAGATAAAATAAAAACACATGCTCATATTACAAAAAAAGAAACTAAATCAAAGCTAAATCAGATCTCTACTAATATGGTAAGCCATTCCATAAATTATGGCTATCATATATGTTAACATATGCATAATCAAATTTATACTAATATGGTAAGTCATTCCATAAATCGTGACTATCATATATGCTAACAAATATTTACTATTCTATACAAGGAATGCTTACGACAATTATATCCCAGGATTTTGGGTATCCACAAATAATATTCCTAACTACAAACAATCTGTAAATCATCTAAATTGGAAAGGAATCCCTAATTATAAGCTATCTTACAACTCATCAAATCATCTAATTTTGGTATGCAAATCACCTCCTCTGATACCTCTGATACTTATATATGTTAAACCATTAAAATTAAGTGACTAGGGACCGTAGCAAAACTTAAAGAGTGTGGCTTTTGATCTAGTAATTGAACCATTATTTTATATGGATTTACTCTTCCTTTTTCTTTTTCATTTTTCTTTTTTTTTTTTAATAAATTCTTCTATGTCAATAATCCTTTCAGAAGGATTGTGTTAGCTGTTTGCAAAACAAAAAGATATCACTCAATATCTCGAATGATAGGTGGATTCTCATTAAAATGTTTAGGTACTTTCTGATCTAGGATAAGAATGCTCCGATACTAAACTGATTTAGGGTCAAGTGGAGAGGAGAGAGAAGAAGAACTAGGGTGGAGAAAATCTCTGTAATCGATATGCCCAATATTCAATAATCATCGAAAGTTGCATGCCCTAGTGCATAAGTACGTAAGGCCTTATTTATAGGCAAACCTAACCCTAGTTAATAGCTAAAAGGAAATATTGCCAAAATTTAAATACTAAAAATGAAAATAACTTGTAAATATTACTGATCCTAAAAAAAAATAGGAAAACCCTAAAATCGCCCTTTTGTTTGCCCCTTCTCCAAGTATAGGTAAGAACAATGTGCAGCTCTTGCATCTCCATCAATATTGTAGTCTTCATGGGTTAGCTATAGTTTATTATAATTTATAATATTTTTCAATGTCTCAAGAAATATTTAACGTTAAATTTCTCTTCCAATATCGATGTATTTGGACCCTCCAATGTGACGGTTGGTGGTCCTCATCTCTTTAAAATGTGTTAGTTGTGTTGTTGTAACAGAGGGACTGACTAAAATATTATATATTTTTGGGTGCTTCCTGATATTCTTAATTCTCTGGACAAGAATTTCAATCGGGTTTTATTAGTGTCTTGAGAGAACTGGTCTATTAGGTTTTTCGGAACCCCCAGCAATTCTCCAACACAACTGATGTAGGTGAAGAGTTCGGTCCAAATGTCGGTGACTGCAGTCATTACGCTACTAACTCATTCGCAGTTTTTTGGACCTCAAATAGGCTTTCCCTGAGTTCATAAATTGTGTTACAAACATTTCATCACCTGCCTGATTAAATAATTGTTTCATAATGACAGATGCTCCTTGTGGACTTCAGAGGATTAATAGGCTTTTGTATCGTAGTAGAAAATTATGGAGAAGCATACAAGCAACTTGTTGAAGTTGGTGGTGGTATTTGATTGACCTTGTAAATCTGTTTGGGGTTCTGAAAGCTGGAAGTGTATTTTTTTTTGTCCTGTTATTTTTCTGGTAAATAAATTGGAAGTTATATGAGGAATTGATTTTGTTTCGTGATTAACTGTAGAATCTTCTTACTAGGTTTTTTTTGTAGGTAATATTAATTTATTTTCGGCATCTTTATTATTGTTAATAGTTTCTTTTTCTTTTGAAAATTTGTAAAGCATTATAGCTTGTTTGTAACTATGAAAAGATTTCTGTATAGTTGAAGATGTTCCTGATAAATGCTATATATTCCATTACTAGTACAACTGCTTCAACTACTATCATCAGAACCACTCATTTTGTAATTGTTTTTGTGTTTTTCCACACTACTGGTCTTTAAGCGGCTGAAATGAAGTTACATTTATGTGCCGTTGGAGCTCTCTATTATTTCTGCAGGACAGTACTATTTTCTGGGAAATGGTATGAAAATCAAACCTATACCATGTCTCCATGTCTTAATCAAACCCCTTCTTTTGGGATGAAATTTGGATATAGGGTTACCAATGGACATCACTGTAGATGGCATGAACTCGATGTTCGAGCTCAATTAGGGGCAATATTGTGTGCGAGTCTTTGCTTGATCTTTCTGTGAAGAATTTGGATACACGGTTCAATGAAATTGAAAAGGATGTTTATAGATGGCTCGAAACAGGATATGAAAAGTTGGAAATGTCACGGGAATCATGAACTCCTGTCTTAGAATTGACCCTTGTTATATCTTGAAGATGACGCCATTGAATATGGTGTTATTTCTTATTCAATTAAATTTAGTCAGATGTGTGTGACTCTCTTATTATTACATTACTTTGATGAGTAGTTGGTCCCATTTGCCCTTATAGGTGCAACTGTATTTTGGTCGGCCAAATGGGTAACATTTAATTTTGTGTAAACAAATGAAATGCAGTACACAAGACGCCACACCGGCCGAAGTGGGTGGCCGTCCACTTTTGACTAAGAATACTATTCAGTCACCTAAGAACAGCAAAAAGTGGAGCGCCATAGATTGATGTCTAGATTGTTTGGCCATCTGCTTATATATTTAAATGTTGGATTAAGTGTAAAAAAACCCCTTTGATATATAGGGTTTGTGGAGAACTAGTTCTTACCTTTTAAAAATGTGTAGGTTAGTTCATAAAATTAAAAAAATGTGCAAATATGCTCATCTGACCATCTTTTGACAAAAACTAAATATAAAAATTCTATTTTACCCTTTTGCTTTCCATTTTACCCCACCCATATGTGCATATTAACCCCTTATACCCATTTCCTCGCTCATCTCCCCCGGCTCTCTCCCTAGCGTTATGATATATATATATATCAATATGTAAGAGAGAGAAATTAAGAGTGATGAATGGTGGCTTACTGGTGGGATGGTGAAAGAATCTAGCTAACACAGATTCGAAGCTCTTCTGAATGGGGAGTACGAGATCAGGTGGGATAGGGAGTCCAGCCATTAGATAGTTAAGGATGAGTGCTTGATGCTCCAACTCCTGCCACTGAGACACCGTGAACGGCGACGGTGAAGACCTCATCCCTACGGCCATTGATGTCAACTGATCAATGTCCAAAACAGCACAAACGAATTGGTAAACGTGTTGTCAAGCATTGGAAAAACTGTTTTGAATGATTCAAAAAAAACGTGTTTGAAGCACCAAGATATTTAGCCTAGTTTTTGTTTCTAATTTTACAAATTTCACAATTCATTCACCTAATGATGCAACTCAATTTGGTATAGGATTAGTCCTCATCAAACCCTAGAATTGCAGGAGCCTTCTGCTCTGGATTTGCCTTTTGTTAATCCCCCACTCTCAAATTGGGAATTACTCTGTGAGTAGAATAAGCCAATATAGGGAGAAACACAAATGGAAAATACTAATGGCAAGAGCAACCCACAAAAAGAGAGAAAAACCCAGACTAGAACAGAAGCCAAAACAAGCTTTCGGATTAAAACATAGAAGGAACTTAACCCTTTCCCACAGAACAACTTGATTGAAGAAGCCAAAGTAACCACACATTGACACACACACATTTACATGCATAAACCGCAGTTATAGAGAGAGAAAGGAGCAGAGCTTAGCAGAGGCGGCCGCCATAGTGGGGAGGAGGTGGGAGGAGGCGGCGGCCATGGTGGGGAGGAGGTGGCACCTGTAATTTTGGGATTTTTTTTTTTTTTGATAAATAGTGCTACAGTGTGTGTATTATATAGTAGGACACTGTTTAGTTTTGATTTTTATTATATTCAGTTTTAGGTTTTTTTGATTTAGTTTATCCCAATTTTATGCAAATTGCGGTTTATTTTATTTTTATCCCAAATAAATCCAATTTTACACAAATTGGATAAAATGATCATTTTATATGGCCTGTATTTATAGTTATTAATTTATTCAATTGAAGTGAGAGTATTATCGTTATTTTATACAACACAGAGATCTATTTGTACCAAATTAATAATATAGGAAGATTTTATACTACATAAGAACTTTTTTACATTATATTTAGTTGATGAGTGTTTTTTTTTTTTTGCACTTTAACCCTTAAATGTTTAATCGAATCTTGATTTGATTTGTGTTGTTTATACTTATACTGTGGGTGAGTTGTTTTGTACTTGTAATTCGCTGTTTGGATGTCGCTGTGAAACTAGACAATAACCAGTTTTTGGGGAATGTGGTATGAGTGAGTATCATCCTACTTTACTTTTCTCTCTTCTTTTCTTTTCTTTTCTTGTCCTTTCTTTGTAGGGACAAGAGTTTGCCGCGTTTGACAACCTAAAACGACATTAGATTAAATTAAGACGTGTCAGCTAGTGATTTTTTTGCGTGTAGAAGTGGAAACCCTAAAAATTAACCGAAATTAATTGTTCTTTAATCCGTGTTGAATGATCCATGCATTTGGCTTAAAATCTTAAAAAGAAAACACAGACACACACACACACACACAAACATGTTTGGTTAGAGGTATTAAACAATTGCTTGTGAAATGTTGCTAAATCATGATTTGGAATTTACTTTTGTTAAACAAAATAGTTATGTCATTTTATATAAATATTTGATAACGGCAAGAGATTCGTGCGCTGAGTTAATTTTTTTTAGTGATTGAAATTACTAAAGCGCGTTATTTTTTTTCTTCTGAAAAATCACAATGTACGGAATTGTCAAGTGTGTAAATGTAGGTTTGAATGGTAAAAGAAGTCTTGTCTTTTTGTGCAAATAATATTAAAAGGTGGTGTGAATTTAAGAAATGTGAGTCCTTTTCTAGAGACATCCACTTCAAGAAATTAATCTAAAGATAGAATCATGTTCCCATTAAGTATCCAACCGTAATTTTATTAAAAGACCAACCTGCCATGGTAGTAGGACTTAACCTCTATTTATAAATTGAAGTGGATCCTCTGATGTTTATTGTACATGATGCGTACTCCATTATACTTTTCAATGCACCTCAGTGGACTAGAATTGACCAAGCCCTAGGTCCTAATTCCTGGTGAAAGTCTCGTACCTACGAAGTTCTCAGCCGTTGAGTATAATAATGGGACCTACTTAATAGATAATTCAATAGTTGAAAGATCCCGAGAGTATGGTACTCCAAAGTATTGTATACTTTCTCTCATTCTTGAGTGCGGATCCTCAACACAATACTATAAATGTTTTACTACATCTAAGAGTCCTCATCACTCACGCATATGCTTTACCAACAAGGCCACTGTGTTATGAAATAGCAGAAGGAATCAGGACTCTCCCTGGTACGCGTTTGAGTCTAACACCTTTCAATGCATTTATGTCATAATGCAACACCCACACAACAACATTAAATTAAGAGTGTAACTCCGTAAATGCCTTGCATTCTCGATTTAATAATGTTGCATTAATGCAACTCAATGTAATATAACTTATGCAATACATTTAGAGAATACGATTATATATATATATATATAGATTATATATATATATATATATAATCTATTTAGTGTTGTTCATTATCAATTTAAATACCTAGACAATACTAGACTCAAAGTGTAAAAGAGATTATCCAAGTCACACGATAGGAGTTGGAATTTGAAACCTCCACAATATTCGTATGTGAGAATTGTTAAAAGGGTTTTCAAGCTCGATAGTGTACCTTGTTCCCAAGTCTAAAGTAAGCTAAAATGTCTTCTTCATCTAGAAGCATCTTGCTTTATATGAGAGGACCATATAAATGAGTAAGTGATTTCGTCAAAAAAATAATAATAATAATAATAATAAATAAATAAATAATAATAATTATTATTATTAATGCATTCAACATACTAATAGAAACATCCTTTTATCTGAATGATTGGCTTCAATTTTTCTTGGCTACCATTTTGATGCCCTTGGGCCACAATTATGTGATGCATGTATATACATGTGTTTATGTAAATTTACTCCAATTGCCCTTCTTTTTATAATTATTATTATTATTATTTTGCCTTTTTTAGATTGTCACATAATTGACGTCTTCTTTAAAATATGAACCTAAAAGGGTATAACTTTTTTAAAAAATCAACAACGTAAATCCTAAAATATATTGATTCTATGCCCCTTAAAAATCAGAATCATTGGAAGGAACAATATTTGTGAGAGTGAGACCCATTAAATACTTGTTTATGGATACAAAGAGTTGGCTAGTCCTCTCAAATGATACCATGTGATATCTTGCAATATTAATAAAATTATATTTATTAAAGATGTTTTTATTTCACTAAGTCTTATTATTACGTGTTAGTATTTTTTTAATTGATGATATTATGTTAGTGGTATGAAGTATTAATTTTCTTTCTTTCTTATAGAAACACGAACGGTTTGGCATGCGCTTTATTTTAGGCTTTTTGTTTTTGTTATAAGAGTGTTTTAAAAAAAATCCAAAGCACGTTTGATAACGATATTTTGTTGTGAATGTTTTGCTACTATTATTGTTTTGGATTATGAACAGTTATCAAAATAAGAAAAAATTAAAAAAAAAATTGTCAAAACAAGAAAAAACAACTTTTTGGTATTTTAGTTTTGAGCCACTGTTCACGAAGTGTTTTAACACTGTGTAAAATAAAATAAGACTATATCAAACATGTTTTTGTTACAAAAATCGATACGATAGCAGCCCAAAAATAAAAACAGCAAAAACAAAATGCATATCAAATGAGACCTAAATCGTAATGAAGATGAATTACAAAGTTCAAAACATCTCTATTACCGAAAAAAAAAAGGTTCAAAACATCTCGATTAAGAACTTATATTTAAAAGAAAGAACACTACTACAATTAAATCTTTTTTCAATTATTTAGAATTCGCTCCATAAATCTAACAATCTAACGTGTTTCATTTTGTCAATCAATACACCCCCACGTTAACTTTGTTATTCCTCTTTTTCTAGTATTATATTTTGATATAGACTATTTCCTAACAGGTACACTACCACATAAAGTAATTTGAAGATTAGCTATGTTTTATTATAAGAAATTGAAAGATTCTAATATAAAAAAATTCCCAAACATTTATTTTTGGTTAAACATTTCCATCAAATTTTTTCTTGTAAGTTTCATGATGACTTTGAATAAAGGATTAATTAGTTAAAGAATGGTGTGATGAGGCCCACCAAACACTTAAGAATTCTTTTCTGGCAACTAATTTATCACTTTATTATATTACGTACTTATCACATAACAAAGACCACTAAAATGATCTCATTTTATATATGCCACGCAATATAAACGCCGTCTGAGAACCATTTTCTAATCTCTTTTTGTTGTGTGGTGTACAAATATATATATATATATATATTACTCATAAGTCATACCCACCCCATACACCTGTCTCTCCTCTCTCTTTCTCTCTCTCTCTCTAAGATCATGACAACTAGCAAAGGAGGTAATGCACCGTCACAACCAAGTCTCGAGTGTTGCATGTGTGGAGATCATGGTCTCTCTTCTGAGCTTTTCAAGTGCAAAGCCTGCAAATTCAGATCTCAACACAGGTAATTAACCAATACCATGAATGAAACAGCCTTTTAATATATATATATATACACACACACACATATTTTCTATAAATAAAAATTTGGATAAATTCTCGATTTGTGCAGTGTTATAAGACCATGTTAATCTTCTCTATATCCTTCCAATTTTAACGAATGTCTATGGGATGTTTTAATATCTTTATTAGTTGTTTTAATGATCAAATGAATACAAATCAACAATTTTCAATCAATTTTCTTATATGGGTATCAATTTTTATTTAGAAAACAATAGTTTTATTGACATAAAATGGTCCAATTTGACAGATATTGTAGCAATCTGTATCCCAAAGCTGAGACATACAGAGTCTGCAATTGGTGCCTGAGTCAGAAGGATGATACAGTAGAGAAAACACAAAACTCTTGTAATTCACCACCATCATCATCAACACATAGGAACAACAATAGTAGTGAAGATGATCATATCATGATCAAGAACAAGAAAAAGATTAGTGGCAATCATGGAGGGCTAAAGGGTCAAAGGGGGACTTTGCAGTTGCAATTCAACAGCCCCATCAAGAAACAAAGGTCCCCGGAGAAATCGCCTTTGTCGTCAGCCCGGAAAAGGGTCACCACCGGCGGTGGCGGTGGCGGTGGCGGTGGTGTGGAGGAGAGACTAAGGAGGACTAAGTCAGAGGAGATAGCAAATGGTGGGATCACAAAAGTTTTTAGAAATAAGGTGAGAAGGTATAAGCTATTGGATGAGGTCTCAAGCCAATGAATGAATAATATGCCCATTTTAAGCAGGTATATTGTGAGTCTCGTACACTGGTCAACGGTTTTTGACAGATTCTGTAATGAACAGAGGCCTATACTAGTCTAATTTTAATTTGAGCGATTTTTTTTCGAATTCAGCATTGAAGAGAGTCTCCTGCACTAATCAAGTTGTAATCCGAATGTAATATTTTATAAATATACAATATATGTGATGATATTTATAGTTGTTCAATATGAAAGAGGGAGTTTAATTTATGGAACCATGGAAAAAATGTGAGAATTTGCAGGGTGGTCTTGACTTTGACTTCATTTACTTAAATTTCAAATATAATTAGTGAATAATATTGTGCATTTTACACATCAATATTGGTCATGTGATTTTTGTCTTTTTTACGGTGACAAGAGTTACGTACACTGATATAGTTTTAACCTGAACGGTTTTCGACAAGTTCAGTTATGACGAGAGTTGCATTCACTGGTTTAGTTTTAGTCTGAACGGTTTTTGACACATTCAGTAATGAAGAGAGTCGCATGTACTAGTCTAGTTTCAATTTGAACGATTTTTATCAAATTCAGTATTGACAAGAGTCTCCTGCACTAATCAAGTTGCAATCCGAATGTAATATTTTATAGATGTACAATATATCTGATGATATTTATAGTTGTTTAGTATGAAACAGGGTTTAATATATGGAACCAGGGAAAAAATGTGAGAACTTGGAAGGTTGTCTTGACTTTGACTTCATTTCCTTAAATTTCAAATATAATTAGTGAATAATATTGTCCATTTTACACATCAATATTGGTCATGTGATTTTTGTCCTGTCTGCACTAGTTTTAGTCCGAACGATTTTTGACAAATTCAATTATGACTAGAGTTACGTACATTAATCTAATTTTAGTCTAAACAGTTTTTGACAGATTCAGTAATGACGAGAGCTTCATTTACTGATCTAATTTTAATTTGAACAATTTTTATCGAATTGAGTACTGATGAGAGTATCTTGCACTAATCAAGTTCTAATTCGAATGTAATATTTTATAAATATACAATATATGTGATTATATAAATAGCTATAGAGTATGAAAGAGGGGGTTTAATGTATGGAACCCTGGAAAAAATGTGGGAAATTGGAGGGTCCTCTTGACTTTGACTTCATTTCCTTGAATTCCAAATATAATTAATGTCAATATATATAGTTTGAAAGAAAAGTGGTTGTGGTTGTGGTGGCATTGAGAATTTTCGTTATCATCATAATGCATGGAAAGAAATAATTGCATTTTAAAATATTAGCAATAATAATTCCAACCCATCTCTATCGCTCTCATGCTATTTTAAACTCTTGTGGGTCGACTAATCAAATCACAGGGATTGATTGTGGTTGCCAACAATTTTTACATTCTATTCTTTTTCACATTCCGCGTATTACAATGCTATATCAAAAAAGTAACGCGTATTTACTTTAAGAACGCAACACATCACACACGCTATTATTTCGATAACGTGACACAATATACATTATTTTGAAAATTCAACACCTCATGTCTAGAGAATTCAATATAATGAATTTTGTATTTGTTGCAAATCACAGGGATTGATTGTGGATCCCAACAATTTTTACAATCTATTCTTTTTCACATTCCGCGTATTACAATACTACATCAAAAATGCAACGCGCATTTACTTTAAAAATGCAACACACCACACACACTATTATTTCGAGAACGTGACACAGTATACATTATTTTGAAAATTCAACACTTCTTGATTAGAGAATTTGATATAATGAATTTTGTATTTGTTGCATTCTCCAAAACGCGGTTGTTACAATTAACAGTATTGAAGTTTCCGTGTCTCATTTAAAAAAAAATAAATAAATAAATTGTCTTGCTAAATGTGTTCATTTTAATATAAATCGACAACTATAGAAACCAAAATGTAAAAATCTAGTTCAAAATTCGTGATAATTACGGACCAAAAGATTGATTTCGCATAACATAAGCTTGATACATTACATATTTACATGTAATATTATATATATATATATATATATATATATATTGTAATCCACATTACATATAATTTAGATGATCCCCTTATTTAGTCATAAAACTTGGCTTCGTACCTATATGCTGACCGATTTAACAGACTTTTACTTTCTTTTTGGAAGTTGACCATTTTAACCATTATTTAGGAGATTGTTTGTTGTATTTTTGTGAACTCACATGCAACCCAATACACTTGTACGGACAGGAAATGGGTTGAGTGGTTATTATCATTGTTATGAATAATGAGGTGTTAAAGAGTTGCTTCTTATAATTACTTTGGTACACTACTGAGCTGTTAAATGATTTCTTCAACCTTTTATGTGAATTTGATACAAAGGCAATGGACCCCTTCATAGCATCATCAATCCACCTCTCTCTCTCTCTCTCTCTCTCTCTCACACACACATATGTATATGGCTAAGGAGCAATGACAGATCCAAAAAATTTTGTGAAGGGGGAAGTCTATTGATTTTTGGGGACAAATTTATATATTGGTTCCATTTTTGTAATTTCAATGGAGTTTTCTTCATGAATTTTAAAAAATTTAAAGTAAAATAAAAAATCAGTGTGGGTGAATTGTAATATTAGTGAGCGTATTTTCAAAAATTTGAAATATAAAATGTAAAAAAAATAATTTAGTGAGGACGAATTATAATTTTAATATTAATCTAAGTGAGACAAATCATCTTGTAATTCATACATGTGCATCCCAAAGTACCAGATGTCTCAAGATAGTTTGCAAATTACGGTGAGAGGTTTGACACCAACAAAGAAGAAATCACTTATGTTTCATTTTCTTTTTATCTGAAATTAAAAGGAATCACTTTTACAACTTAACTATAACTAGAATAGAGGGCTGTTACCCAAAGCATCAGGTTTTAAGTGTCCCTATCCTATGATTCTAGGTTCGAATTTCTTTCTCATTATCCTCCACTGACTACTAACTTTCTAACCATTGTCATAAATAAAAAAAACACACACTATTCATAGTCAGGGTAGTTAATGAACGAAGTTGGTTCGCAAATGGTCTAGATGGGCTTGTTTAAAACTCGATTGCATTAAAATAAGTCAAACTCCAATTTAATTTTTGAACTCATTTAGTAAATGAGTCAATTCCAAATAGTGTTAGATTTGACGTGTGAACACTAATCTCTTAAACTCATATGTGTTCATGAAAATATACTTGTGTAAATTTGTATACTTTCATGAACATGGGTTTGTGTATGCTCGTCTAATTTCATGAATAGTCAAATCGATCTTGAAGGCTAGCTCAAACTGAGTGCACAAACATGAGGTTTAATTTTTTTTAGTAGCGTAGCTAAACTTGAGCTTTCAAATAATAATGAATTTAGCTCGAACTCTACTTTTCAAAAGCTCATTACAATTTTGAACAGAGTCAACGTAAAGCTCACAAATGAACAAACCCAGGCCAAATAGATTGAAGCTTGTGTCATTTGCAACCCTATCCATGGTTTTGTACTATGATGTACAAAGAAAACGAAGGGAAAAAAAAACACAACAATTGCCAAGAATATTGTTTACCGCAAATGCTGTTTAAATAGATACTAGGACAATAATATTGGAATAAGATGGCTAAGATTAACCCAATATGAGCTTTATATTTTGTTCACTGCAAATTTCATATTAGGTCATTAGCACTAGTGTCTTTTTGGCCATTTTGGGTCATATTTGGCGAGTCCGGTGCTCCAATTGGACTCTCAGAATGCATCATCAAAAACAACGACCAGGTAGAGATCACAGGCCCGCCTACTTTTTTTTTTTTTTAGTTAGCACCAGGAATTCCCCTAGGCAAGGCCACTTTGGGACCCACCCTAGGTTACAAACCTGAGGTGCAGAGCCTCGCCCCAAGGATACACCGGATAAGTCGGGGGTGATAATGGGGTTGACAGTGATCGAACACTGGCCTAGTGTGAGCCAGTGCCAAGCACTTACCAACTGAGTCAAGCCCCCGAGGGCACCCGCCTGCTTTTTGCTTCTTCATTTTTTGTTTTTTTTTTTTTTTTTTTGGCCCAAACCACTGTCGCCCTTACCCCAAGGGCATGTTTGGCTGGAAAAAATTCCATAAATCAGTTTTTGAGGATTTTTTTTGTCTTGTTTTTTTGGCCCAAACCACTGGCCTAGTCTTGTTTATTAAATTTTTTTTTATGATAAAGCTATTATATGGCCGTCAGAAAAAGTAAAAAAAAAAAAAAAAATTATTAAAATATTTATATTTTTAGAGAGCAAAAATGAACTATTAGAGCATATGCAATAGCTAAAATTTAGAAAGTTAAAAATACTTACGTGATTCTTGAAAAGACTTATTTGACTATTGAAAAATGCTGACTTAGAATTGCTGGATTGTCAAAATTTGGCAATGCCATTAGAGAAGCTGCTACTTAGAGCAACTCTAATGGTATCTCCAAAATTTGGCAATCCAAATTTTTCACGTTCAAAACTTCAATTTGATCACATTCCAAGTATTTTCCAAAAGCTGCGTCAGCGTTTTGGATTCTCCAAATTTTAGTTATCATATATGCTCAATTGATGCTTTTTCACTCTCCAAAAATATTAATATTTTAATAAATTTTAAATTATTGATAAAAAAATTAACTTTTTTCAACAGCTATATTATGGGTTATATATTTATTATATAGAAATAAAAATGAAGGCAATTTTTTAATAAAAAATAACTTTTTTAGGAAAAAATAAAAAAATAATTTTTATGGCCAATATAGCCGTTAAGCCACTATTGCAATACGTGTACAGAAAAGGTCAAAAAGAACAAAAAACAATTAATTTGTTCTCTTTTTTTAAAACTTTTTTTGGCCTAAAAAAACCTTTAAGACACTGTTTGTGTCCACCAAATAATGCCTTAATGACTCTTTGGTTCAGTTTTGTTGAAGAAGAAAAAAACTAAAAAGTAAAAAAAAAAAAAAAAAAAAAAAAAAAAAAAAAAACTGATTTTTTACATTTTTTTCCCCAAACAGGGCCTTAAAAACAAAACTGGTCCGCTACAAATACTAGTGGGCCTGTTTTTTTAAAAAAAAAAAAAAAAATTAAATACAATTGGACCTCGGCATATGGGTCCACGGATCTCCAAAAAGGAGGACAACTCGCGTAGCGATCCAATTTTGATAACTGGCATTAGAGCGGATTCGGTCACCAAAATTGGGCTGGACTCGCTTAAATACACAACATTGGAGTAGCTTAAATTCTTCATATTTTTATTCCCTGGCATTTTATGACCAAGAGTGAACTTCTTTAGAGCTAAATTGAGCTCAGATAATATATTCATTCATGGTTCATTTGAGTTACTTGGTACGTTTCTGGATCAACCACTTCAATTGACCCACCTTAAATGCTGGGGTCTCTATTATTGGGGTAATTGAGGCCCACAGCCTTCAAGCTCCAAGACTTTCTAATTCGTACAAAGACTTTTTAGGCCGATTTCAAATGAGCAACCTATGACATAATGACTAAGTAGTTAAAGCTGGGGCGGAGCGAAAATAAATTCAAGAGTAGGAGTACAAAAGTAGTAAAATCAACGGGTCAGTGGCCTAGCAATATCGGCCTCTTACATCCCAAAAGAAGGTCAGAAATTCAAATCTCAGAAGAGACATGTGTGTGTGAGTACCAACTAGGAAAAAAAATTTAGTAAAATTAAATTACAAATACTGAGAATGGGAACGAGATTGCGAAGAGCAAGAGCGCACTTGAAACGTAAGAGCAACATCCGTTAAAAAGGATTGCGTGACTTAAATTATGACAATTATATAAAAAGTCCGATGCATATAAGACTAGGTATTACATGTGTTCGACATGTTCTTTAAAAGCCCGGAAACCACCATCACAGACCAAAAAAACAAAAATTCTCTAATGAAGTGGCTTTGATCCACAAAGTCAAAACACCTAATAAGCGTCGGAATCTAAAACACCCAGCCCAATTTATATATCTTCGGAATAGTTTTTTTTTTTGGGCACATACACTGTTACTTTGAATAGTAACTTTAATTAATCAAAATTTACAAATTAATTTCCAATCACTTTGATTTAAAGTTTAGTAATTTTCAAAGCTGTTTTTCAGTTTATCAAAGCTGAAGAAATTACTTTTTGATCTCAGTAAAGGCATTTTTCGTTTTTCAATTAATCTCCATTTCATCTGGGAAGAGGTCTATAAGCTTTTAGTTAAACCCAAATTTAATGCCATCTTCTGAATTTTTGCAACTCATTAATCATACATTAGTGAGTAAAAGTTCATTCTCTCTTCCTAGACAAGGGGTTAGTTGGAAGATGCCAATTCTTATGTCATAATATAGTTAAAAAGAGTAATTACATCGACTTATAAGGTTTGGACAAATTACACATAGATAGATCGATCAACGTTTATTACTTTGACTTTCTCAAAATCTAGTCATCGACAGCCGAAAAGTGACTTTGAGTGTAAAAAATCAGAAATACTCTTATCTTATAATTATATTATATTGCATTTTATACGAGAGAAGCGCAAAATTGTCATTTTATAAAATTTGGTCAACAGGTTTTTCAGAAAGAAAACATGTCTTTGTGTTCACGTGCCAATCTCAAAAGAAGTCAAAATAATAAATATTAAATATTCTACGGTGTGTAATTTGTTCAAACTTCACGAAAGGTCAACGTAACGTACCATGTAATTAAATCGCATTTAATGATTTAACATATTTTGGACTCAGTTTGTCGACCCAAGTAATAAATTAATCACTTATTAGTTTTCCTTACTTAAAAAAAAGAAAAACAAACAAACAAACTCCAGTCAAATTAATATTTATCTAGTGACATATATGTTGGCTTAGTGATTATAATGTCTTTGTTATATACCAAATCATGTAAAGCCGGTGTTTAAATGTGATTTGCTCTCATAAGGTCGTCTTAATATACCAAATCATTCCAAACACTACTTCAAACTTTCAATTTTATCGTTCAACGAAAAGAGATACAATTCTATGATTGATTCTTGTATAATTAGAATTTTTTCTATGATTCAATCTCCTTGAGTTGTTCAGTGTAACGACTTCAAAAGCTTGATCCAAAATTAGTTGTGATGATCTTTCTTTAAATTTTCGAAATTGAATAATGCTTGACTAGACTTAATTTCGTTAGAAGGCCAATAGAGTAGTTGAAAACTAGTTTTGAAAACTAGTTTTTTCGAGTATTTCAAGCAACTTTGGACTAAAATAAAGGTGGATTTCGCTAAGCATTTTATAGTGTAATGTGTTCTTTTTGAGATTAGATGAGTGTGGTATAATAAAGTCTTCTCTCCTTCTCTCAACTTGAACCGATTGGAAGTGATCTAAGCTGCAAGATCCATTGGTAGGAGACAAATGCCATTAAAACCATTCAACACTAGGGAAGTCGTAATTTGCCTTAAAGACATAGTATCAAATATTGTTCTCGATTTAGATTCCTTATTTATCTATTATTATTATTATTTTTATATTATTTTTTAATTGTATGATTAATTAAATATTTTGAGTTGAATATTTAATTAATTATTAATTTAGCACATTATTAAATATGTTGAGTATCTCATAATCATATTATTATAATGTTTGTTTCATTTTAAATACTATACTTATTTAATTAATTATTAATTTAGCACATTATTAAATATGTTGAGTATCTCATAATCATAATAGTATAATGTTTGTTTCATTTTAAATACTATACGAAGCATATATTTTTCAATAAGAGCTTGATCTCAAATGGTGGGGATGTGTGAGCCGGCTCACATTAAGTTTGAGCCGACTAACTTTCTTCCTTAAATCAGCTTTGACTTGTTAACTTCAAACCGCCATATTTTTCTCATTTTTAATCCAAATTAAGTGAATTTTGTGCTCAATTTGAATGTTTTGAGTTAACTTTCCAATGGAATTCGTTTTACTCAAAAATTCAACTTACAGAAAGAGTTATGACTGTTTAAGTGAGGCATGATCATGAAATTTCCTAAACCGAGGCTACCCACTTGTAGGAAACCTTTACTCTAGCCCCTAGAACCTTATAATATGCATTAATCACCTATTAAAATGATCATTTCTCATTAGATTATATCCTCGGGGCTTGAGTAAGAGCCCAGTTGAGTCCATTTCTGTTCATGATTCAGGTTCCATAGATTTGGGTCGTGAAAAAATTGGTATCACTTCAAAGAACAGCATCACTTATGTGATATGTTTGTTATTCTTCATATTTAGATTCTTTGAGTGTTGAAGTTGAGCTTTGGCTATCTTTCAGCCTATGAAGCACGGATTTAGGTACGACACAATACGGCAGTATGACAAATCTTATATATATATATAATTTTATTTTTTGAGCTAATTTTTTTAGATATATAAAATTTTGAATCTAAATGCAATTTTAATATGTTCTAAATTTTATATCAAATCATGACATATATATTTTCTTAATAATTATACTATAAAATGTAGGAAAAGTTACATTTTAATGTTCAAAACTTGTTTAAAATGTATTAGCAAATATTTAAGAAGTACCGAATATGTGGTCGATCGAAGTATCGGATACAAATTAAAAATGAAAAAATATAATAATTTATATATATATTAAAATTATGAATACATTTAAAAAATATCAGGCACATAACCTCGAGTATCGGTATCTGATGCTAACACGATATGGGTACGTCACCCTTGTAGAAGTATCAATGTTTCTTATATCTTAGTCTCTCTGTCTGTGTCTCCCTAGAAGGTGTTAATAGACCTTGTATAATAAAATAACACTAAACTAAGAGAACAATGTAATTAGAGCGGGTAGTTCGCAATTCGATCAAAACACTTAAGTTAGTAGATGAGACTAATACTTAACTCATATACATATATTTACTTTTGATGTGGGACAAGTTCCACTTGTAATATCCTCCCCCACCTGACATCCTCATTGCGGTCAGGTACCTTGCCTTCCTTGATCGTAGGCTAACCCGGACCCCTCTGGGTCGGACATTTGACATGGCACTAGATCAAGAAATTAGTCTGGTTTTAATACCGATTGTAACATGTGGTTGCTTCGTAATTCGACCAAAACACTTAAACTATTAAATAGGGCTAACACTTTACCCATATATACCCATTTACTATCCCATCCAAATTTAATGAGGGACAAATTCCCTCGTAACACCTAATTAACCTCATTAAAGATTCTAGTGATTAAGTCAAAAACTTTCCTATAATTTAATAAAGTTTGGAGTCCAAATCAAGAGTAGCGCAAGGGAGTGGGTTATTAAGAATAAAGAAGAAAATTCCTAGGAAGTTTTACAATTATATGTGTGCTTGTACTTCATTTTTTTTATTTTAAAAAGGAAATACCACAATTATCTTTTAATATATAACCTGGTACTCCATAATTATTTAAATTGTGTTCTTACACTACAAAATTGTCAATATAAAAGGAAACATTATATTTTAAGTCCCGATACACTTCAAATATCACTTATCTAAATTTGCACAACTTCATAATCAAAATTCAACAGACTCTTATAACATTAATTTAATAGTTGCATGAAGACAAAACAACCCTTTCAATATTCCACACACACACCACAAGGAGAGACACAGCATAAAAAAAAACCTAGTTACAAAGTTCACGGGCAATCCCGAGGCGAGAGTTTGGTACATCAAACATAACCCGGAGGTTCTGCTGCTGCAGATTGGCTACCACATTCAACACCGAGTTCACCGGCATAGCCCCCATTGCCAAACACGCCAACGACCCGGAACTGCTATGGATCAAACTGTTCTCCAACGGCAACACCAAGTCCATCCCCTCGAAACGGAACGTAACTGCAGGAGTTACATCTTCATTTGTTGCAGTGAAGCATGTATCAAAAGCACCCAATGATGAGAACGGGCCTTTCACTTGTTTTCTAAACTCATCCCGGATCGCTTCGTAAACGGGCGGCACGAATCGGGTCATGACCGTACCCGAATCTATGATGGTCCCGGAACCCGTGGTCGGGTCGAATGCTAGGAGTTCGGGGGTTATCGGGACCTTGACCCGCCCAACGCTAACTCCGGTGAGGTTAACGTAGTACAGTGACGGCCGGCGAGGGTTCTTTAAGAGCGGAGTGGTTTTGATATTCTTGGGTTGACCCAGCGGACCGAGTTTTAACGACCCTGAAAAGTAGTATGATTTGAAACTGGGTAAACAGTATGAGAACACGCCAGAGTAGAGTGACCCAGTTTGTGAGAGCAAAGATGTGGGTCCACGGCCCAAACCCAATAACCCTTGGGGCGGAATTGCTTTACCGGACACCGCGTTAATGCATCCGAAAGCATAATTAGGGATGACATCGGCGGCAAGTCCAAGGGAATCACGTGATAATGTAGCCGAGAAAGATGAATCTCCACCATAAGATTGATTGAAGAAGCACGTACTCGTGCCGGTTTCCGGACATGAGAGTCCGCGGACCTGGGTGCACTCGGGTACAGAGCACTCCATTTCCCCGTAAGTCGAGGAAGTATTGGGTGTAAACACGGTGGAAGAGCACCCGGTGCACCCGCTACACGGGACCCACGCATTGTCATTGCTGGTGTCCAACACCATGAACATGAGCTGACCCGGTGTCCCAATTTTGACCCGGACTATGTAGTTCCCTACGTTTAGGACCTGTTGGCCCGAGGCAATTGGGACCTTTGTGGGCTTTTGGGCCACAAGGCTTGACAAGTAGCTGACCCTCTCTGGGTCCTTGGAGGCCATGTTTAGGACTGTGTTGACCCATGAGGAGGCAGGCTTGGGTGCGGAGAAGGGCGAGCATTTACCGTAGACGTGAATGACGGAGAGATCAGAGCCGTCTAATTTGGAAGTAGAAGAATCACATGGATCAAAAGCAATGGTGTTTGCAAACAAGAGAGAGAAGAGAAATGAGAAACTAAGCAAGTCCATGACTGGTAGAGAATGGTGATAGTGTTCTTGAGATGATAGTATGTTCGAGAGGGAGAGAGAAGACCTTATATAAGAAGCTAAGAAGCTGTTAATTTACCAAAATACCCATGTCATTATTTTTATGTAACTATTGATTAAATTTTGTTTATTATATATAATATAGTTTCTTACAAATAATGAATGAGATTATTGGGATATTTTGGGACATAATTACTTGGCCGCAAAATAATTGTAACGCTATGATGGTGACAAAAAATAGATGGAGTAAACGACAAAGCTTATGATCAGTTCATTGGGAAGAGTGATCAAAACACAACAAATAAGAGAGTTTCAGATTCTTTAGACCAGCGAAGCTCATATGCACCAAAAGAATGTTGCTATGTTGTAAGGGTTAGAGTAAACTCTGACCTCTTTATTGTCAAAAACCACGAAAATGCCACTGTGTCTAGTTGAGATTCAAATTTCATTACATTACCTACGCCATCAAAACAAAAGTAGTGATATTCACACCTAACATTTGTAATGAATTGCTTAACTAAATAATTTTTAATTAGTTATTTATACTAAATACAACTAATGGAGGACTTTACTTCCTTATTTATTACATAATTGACCAATTAAAATAGTAGGTCACCTCAAATGTCTAAGTTGAGATTCAATCCTACACCATTAACACAACAAAGGTGTCACTAACATAATTGATATATTTTTTGAACAAGACTTGCTTACTCACTGGTAAGTAGGTCATCCCTAATGACTTTTGATGTGGTCCAATTACAAATGCACATATAGTCTATAATGATAAAATCAGAAAGGTGATAAATAAGGAAATCCGAGAGGGTGATTAAATTTTATTCCAAACAAAGTTATTGTCCTTATTTATAACTTTCTTGATTTTGAAATTACAATTTATTAGGAATGACCTACTTACAAGTGAATAAATAAGTCTTGCCCATATTTTTTTTAGTAGATAGAAAACTTCAGTTTAATTATTCGGACTCAGCTCATTTGTGATTTTGTTTATGGGTTCAATTCGTGTTTGGACTCTCTTCGTCATAAATTTATACTAACTTATACAAGGTTTTGTTTAAGAATTCGAATCTTAAACCTCCATGATGATCAAAAATTTGTTAATGAACTTATGTTTATGAAGATGATGATGAACTTATTTTCATGAACACCTACAAATGTATATGAATTTAGTTCAGTGTTCACAAGAGTACTACTACACTCACAAAGCCGTCCAAACTTGCTCAATCATTTATTAAACGAGCTCTCGACCCATTTGCTTAATAACAAGTCTAAACTGAGTTTTAAACAAATCGATCCAAAGATATTAACGAGGAACTCAATCCTAAAAATATAATAATAATAAATAAACAATAATGGCTCGTGAGCGTATGATTGTAATTAGTCGATAATTAAAGGGTATTATGGGGATGTAAAGTGGATAACAATGCTCGTGAACATCCCTTCTGTAATACGGGCAGGGCAACTGGATTTTTGTCCCTACGCGGGTCAAGCACGGGATTCCGGTCGGTCACGGGAATGGCGAATAACCCGGACCCACCATTCTACCACATCCATCTCATATACCTATAATGCAATTTAGAATATAATTTTTTCTTTTCTTTTTTAATTAAAATATCATCTCATTCACGTGCAATTATAGGACTATTTTTCAATAATTAAAGGACATCAAATTATATAGTTCATCAAAGTAAAAGGTTATAACAAGTGTGTCAGGACACAATATATATATATATATTGTGTCCTGATTAACTCCCACACTTGTTATATATATATATATTTTAAATAAAATAAAATAAAAGCACTTTAACTTAAAATCATATTTTTTTTTTTTTAAAAAAAAAAAAAGTGAATCAGCTTTGTTTGACAACTTTTCATTAACAGACCATTAGTTCAATAATATAACACTTTCTGTTTTTTTATAGATAAAAAAATGAGAGGTAGTGTATGGTTTTTTAATAATGATTTAAAAATCGAATTCGATAATTACTTAACTCAATTTATGTGAGTGAGAGGGGGTGGTGAGTCCGTCACAAGACGTTAAGGGCTGAGAATTCTACTCTGGCAAGATAGTACTTCGGATAATTTACAACTATAAATTGTGTACTTGTACAACTTTTAATGAAAATTCTCCAGTTCTTTCTTTTGATTTTACCCTACTGTGTACTTGTAGTCAAACTTTTAGTGGTAATTGTCTCGTAACTTTTAATGGTTATTGTCCCGTTCTACCTTTTGAATTGCCTTAGTGAGTGAGTAGTCTAGATTCTTTGTTGCGGTTGATTCTCTTTTGTAGAGTAGCGATAAATTTTAACTATAACTGTCTTGTTATATTCTTTGAATTGTCATACTAAAGAATTTTAGGATGAAATCTCTACAACATGCTACAAGAAAGGACATATTATAATTAGGGTGCATACGGTTCGGTTTGAACTAGTTTAAAAATTTTTTAAAATCAAACAATTCTAACTGATTCATAAAATTTGGAACCAAACGAAACCATTTGACCAAAAGAACTAAACCAAACCAAATTGTGAAAAACCGGTTAGGCTTGGTTCGGTTCCCTTTTCTTTTTTTTTTCTTTTTTTATTTTTACAGAAGTATTCATATTTCAAAATCCACTTGCACAACAAAAAGTCAAGTTACCAATACATTTAGACCTATTAATATATTCAAAACTTTCAATTCATTCTTTTCTATCACTTTTGGAACTGAAATAATAAATTTAGAATTGCTAGTAACCTAATACATTTAGAATTACCAATTTAATAAAAAGCATTTAACCACAATTCAAAATTTAGCCACTATATATAAAAGAAAAAAAAAAAATCATCTAATAAATTGATAATACTTAAGAGAATTAAGAATGTATCATAGGATTGATAGTTGTTACAAATTTCTAAGTAATTTGGATTGTAGGATTATATTATATTATATATAATGTATAATTTAATATATAAATATAAATACATATAACATAACGGTTCGGTTCGGTTCAGTTCAGTCTAGTCTTAAAGGACCTCAAACCGTGACAAAATCATATTTTTATAATTTCACAAATATAGAACCGTGACCGAACCAAATCATTAACAAATCAAATTAAACTGTCCGGTCTAATTTGGTCCCGTTAAACTTTCAATTTGACCAAATTTGTGTGCACACCTGATTACAACAAAATATACAGACTCGTAAACATAAATGTTTGCAAAAGAATCTTAGCCACTTAATGAATTTCGAGTCAATAATAAAGCTGCACAGCAAGCCATCAATTAACTTTTCATTGCCCATGATCTAATGATTGAGGTCGTCACAGACTCACAGTAGACCCTCGTGATAAGCTTACTTTAAGTCAAATAGAGAACTATTACTATACGATAACAAATAAATAAAGACAGCTATCATTTGTATCTACTTCGAAAATGGCTGATATATATATATATATATATTTTTATCGACTCATTCCACCCATGCATTTTTCAATCTCAATTACCACACACATGCATTTTTGTTTTCTTAAAAATTGTTGCCTTTAGATTTTCTATTTAACATATGAAATGGTTGATTCTTTCACACACTATCTGAAATGTTGATTTGTATAATTATTTCCATAGTCAAATTACTTAAACACACAATTATGGGACGAGAGCCGTAGACGCGAAAACCCTAAATTCAACTCTTACATAGCACAGAAACACTCGAATTTAAATGAGTAGTTTGCGAACGTATCATAACTTTACCTTCCAGTCTCGTGTACTAAAAGATCACCCGGTTAAAAGGGTATTTCATTTCCAAAAAAATCTTGGAAAATCTAATAATATTTTTTCGAGAGTTGGGAGAGTGGAACGTTCCCACAATTAATTCACACGCACACACGTAAGAAGAGAAACATTCAATATACGACACTCTTGTTCCATCGAGGAGGAACAAGAGTGCTTCCTTATCACAGAATGGTGATAGAAATGGCACCCAAATACAAACACCACCCACCCAGAAAAAGTGATTAATTCAGCAGTTAATGAAAGAGACAAGCAGTGTGAAAGGGCTGAAAACAAAAGACATTCACGAGTCCTACTATTTAGTCACATTTAATAATATCTCCTGTTCTTACCATTCTGTGGACCACCATGCTCAGATAAGAAAATCTTGGGCCTTTTTTGTCTCCTCCCATGGATGGAGATAATGTGACCCGTCTGAGGCAGAGACTCAATTTTGTTCTTTTGCATCAGAATACTGATCGAGGCATATAGATCTAGTGGTACCACTCATGCACACTCTCAAAGCAAATATTAAAACTTATAATTCAAATCCTTGTCCAACTCGAACCTGGATCCCCTCCTATGCAGGGGGATCTTGTGCACCAAAACAGCGTCGTTTCAGTGCACAGCACGCACACCAATACAAGACTTCGTGCCTGGACACTAGTGCCAAACCACTTAGGAACTAGGGCCAATGTGAGTAGAATCGTTAAGCCATGCTTCATAATTGGAAAAACGAGCACCATGGAAATACATGCCACTCAGCTAAAGAAAGATAACAGAGGGTTTATCGAAATGGGCACTTAATACTTTTCGAGAGGTCTCCTCCAAATCATTGTATGACTATCATAAATCGTAAACATCAGCTTGTAAGGCCTTTAGCTAGTAGTACTCTTGAGAAATAACCTGGTCACGGGGCTCAATACCTGTGTATTGAAACGACGTCGTTGCAGTGCACAAGATCCCCTCCATCCAACTCAACCTCACCTTTAATACTTCCCAAATATGAAATCTAGGTTATAAACGAACATTTTAGGTTTTAGATTGATCCACCCAAGTTGCATCACCATATAGATCTAAATGAAGATATTAAGCATAACAAACAAACTTTGATTGATTTATAGATATTCATTTCAAGAACTGTCATAGAATCAACTTAAAACTTTTAACTTTCAGTGCATGTTTAGTCGATAGATGTGCCCATGCCTGTGTCCATGTGTTGTGCAACTAAGCAACAAAGAAAGACAGGCTGCAGACACACAAGCATTACAAGACCCAAGTACCTAACAACAGAAACCACAGTGATAATATTGAAGTAATAAAGACTTTAGTTCAGAAATTTCTTGTAGCTAGCCAAATGAAAATTTTAACTTGTACAAACATATGGCCACACTTTATCCTAGAAAATTGAAGAAATACAGCATGGTTTCATCAAGAAACCATAGACTTAGCTGAAAATAATTAAACAAAAAACTCTAACTTGCTTGAAAACAATCCAAACAAAATAATAATTTAGGTTTATTTCGGAAATTTACAAGGCAAAGCACCATTAGAAATAAAAACACAAGCCTCAAGTCTGAAGAACAAGACATACAACCAGAGAAGCAACCAATTTTCTCAACAGAATAATTAATTTATCAAGATACAACATTACACAACTACATATAACCACAACATTTTCTCCAAATGCTCGCATGCAGGAGGTAAGAGTAGCACTTATCAGAGGCATAGCCGGTTAATGAGTTTTCTCACGTGCAACTGACTACAGGACCACAACTCGACTGAGCAGTATCAGCAACACACCACAAAAGCATCCCATCACTACAATGTGATTTAAATCATGTTAAACATTAGATAGCAATGTGTGGCCTGAAGCTAAAAACTAACGATCCTGCACAATGAATATGTTCCAATGACAGCAACTTGGGGAAATGAAGTCCAGAGAAAAAAGATCATATGTCAAGGATCAAGTATAAAAGAGCCGAACAATACAAAAAGCAGGACATTCAATATACAACAAATTGATCTAATTCAGAAAATTGTGAAATTATCAACTTTTTGCTTATAAAATGTTACACGTGACATTACTTGTTCACCTGTTTAAACTTACTGTTGTAATTCAATATAGATATTCTTTTGCTTTTATCTACAAGTTTGAGTAAGAATAGCATTCTACAGATATATTTTAACAATGCTAACAGCCAGGTTCAGAAACATATCAACGGACACTAGTGTGTCTTTCTGCATTAATTGGAAACAGTAGCTACTAGTAATAAATCAAACATAATTTTTTAAACAAATTTTGACAAAAAGAAACCTACTAACAAAGTGTAAACGAATATGAGACCCACAAGAAAGAACGAAAAGTGTGATGCACTGGTTTGCCAGCAGTGCACACGTGGATAATGTTGATGACACAATACAAAAAGTGGCTTGCTACTTCAATGAGTTTGACAGCCATGTAGGGGCCTTACGTTATCCAAATACATGTAATTACATTTAAGTCTTGATAGTAAATTTGGTTATAGCATTGACAAATTAGGTATAGAAAAGGGGGAAGTATTTATCAAACATATATGGTAACTGAACAAGGATCTGGTGGTGAAATTGCTTTAAGCAGTTCGAATCCTCTTGGGTGCAAACAATTCCTTGAGAGAGAGAGAGAGAGAGCGACCGCGGGGGGGGGGGGGGGGGGGGGGGGGGGTGGTGTGTGGTTGTTGTTGAGTACCAACTAGGAAGGGAAAAAAATTTGCTTTAAGCTTAAAATGAAATATGAAAGCTTAATGCAAAAGCTTTTTTTGGTTGCTTCAACAGCGGTATGAATAACCATAAGGTTCTAGCCTTTCTAGAAACAGGAAGGAAGCTTATTAAATATTACAAAGAAGCATGATGATTGGATTTGATAGGCGTGTTACTTATATTTACACCAATGTTGTTGCATAGTCTCATCTACATCTGTCAACACTCGACACTGTTCGTATTGGGGTTTTCCCTCATTACACACACAAACAAAGCGCACACTGTCTCTTGCATAGCATACATGGCATAAAAGAATTGGGGTGTGGTTATTCTCTCTTTAAAATTGAATCGAGTTTTGTCTTCCACAAGGCCTTCTATTGCCTTCCAACTCCCTGTCACATTATCTGGGTATATATCTTAGCCTGGGTGCATCCATTACCCTTCAACATACTCAATTAGCCCCATATTTATAATCCAACTTCAACTTCCCGACTAAATAAACTTCCTTGCGTGTTTCATAATGGTTTCTGCATCTATTTCTTCTTTCCCCTAAATATTTATCATCAATATATTATCTTTTTATTTTTGGCTCAATCTTTCCAATGCCTAAGCAATTAAATCGTGTGTAAATCCTCATAATGCAACCACAAGTAAGTTCACACAATCAGAAAAAGTGCAAGCCTCACAATATCATGTTGGCAAAAAAGGAAAGGGCTCCACAATACAGAACGAATAACCACAATGAGCATCGAGAACAAAATTAGTGAGATTTCCGTGTGAAACAACCAAATGTCGCTACGGCAAGTGGAGAAAAAAAGTCAAAACTACAGGGGCATACCCAAAACTAGGCATGTAAATGGATTCAATCATGATCTAAATCCAATTTGTTTAGAAGGATTAATAATAAACTCTAACCCAATTACCATTAGTAATCTAAATACATTTGATATTGACTTGATAATAAAGATATCAATTTTGGACTTAGGTACGTCCAATTATTCAAGATCCAATCCTATTATCTACTGAGGAACATATTTTGGTAATGTATTATTGTCTAAGAAGCACGGACACGGATACGACATGACACGAACACGGCGACACGACAAATCCAAAAAAATTAAGACACGGACATGGCAGGGACATGGTGAATAGTATATATATTATATATGTGTGTATATATATATATATATATATATATATATATGATGTAGTACTTTAAAAATTACTGAATGTTATTATTTTTCATCAACCTCATAATGAAAAAAATACAAAAATCATAACTCATCTACTGTAATAGTGTAATGACTGGCCCTTAAATATCTATTTGTTTTGTCTAAAATTGCATATTAACTTTACAAGTATATAATTATTATGTACTGACTACATAAGTGAGTAAAAGTTGTTAAATAACTTCACATATTTATACTTTAACCTAATTTTCTTTCAAAAATTATCTTTTAGACCCCGAAAAATAAGACACGTGTCGGACACGCACCCCTGGTGTGTCGGACACGCGCACCCCTGGCGTGTCGAACGCGTGTCCGCGGAGTGTCCGTGCCGTATCCGAAAATTTAAAAAAAAATAAAAAATTCCAGACACGTTTTTTGGTGTGTCCGACAAATGTCGGACACAGATTCTTTGCCCATTTTGGCGTGTCCGTGCTTCCTAAATTATTGTACATGATACAGTAGTATACATTAGATATTCTGACCTATACACAATATGCTACATAATATATGTTGATTTGTATTATAGTTTTAATCAATATTTTGATAATGTGATAAAAATTGCATACCAAAAAATTAGAATTTGTTATTTAATTCGATAAAATCAGATCGACCCACTTTACTGGAACAGATATCCAATAACTATTGAATTTGAATTTAAGGGAATTTTACGAAGTTAAATTATCATATCACGTTGGGGTTAACAAATATCATATCAGATTTATGTTAGCCATAGTCTGGGCATCCAACCCATTCACAAACTTATCAAAACTCTATTCAGTTACTGAGGCCTGCTAAGCATGTCAATGTCTATGCACAATCATTAAAATTTAGATAGATTCACCAGGTGATTGGATACGAGTAACATTACATTGTTATCTATACACAAGGGGAGAAAAAGGCGGGTGTTGTCCAAATCCAAAAGAAGAATTATTTCCCTCACCTACTCAATGTCAGAACGCACTCCTACAAAATGGGGAAGAAGTCCTAAAATTACAAGACGCAGGACTGTGCAACACCATAGCTGTTGGCTTTGCAAATAACAAAGCCACTTTGGCAACTGCAATAATCTGCTACTCCTCTATTGCACTAGAAATATTCAATAATATTTTTTCTCATATAAAAAATGTGAATGTTAGAAGAAAGACCTCACTTGAAGCTTTATGCATGGTTATGCCCCCATACAAGTTGATACTAACCCCTCCTCAAGGGTCAAAATGATAATTTCAAAATGCAACTTAAAAAAAGAGAATTTCCAGCAAAAAACTACCAACTTATTTAACCAGTGGTCTGAAGAGCGGTCACACTAAAATTATATGATAAAGTAGTCAGAAAATCATTTGCCAAGTGAGCTAGCAAATCATTTTGTCATTGTAATCTATATTTACGAATAGGGCACAAATCAACTGAAATGTTCGGCACCACTCATTTTACGGCTCACTCGTCAAACAAATGAGCCAAGTTTGAGATTGGATTCACCCCTCTATGTCATTAGAAGTCGAAAGGAAACGTCTGATGTCAGATTAACTCCGTGGTGTCATGGTTCAAAATTAAACATAGATCGGATCCTGATGTAATTGTCGCTTGAAATGATGTTTCTCCTCATGGTGTTTAACTTCTCTAATTTTTAATTTTACTTTTTTCTGTTTTGTTTAGGGGCCTTGGATGCACTAGTAAAAGCTCGGACGGGCACGGGGTCTGATAATCCCCCGCCCCGCCTTATATACAATTCTTTTATATAAAAAAAAAATTATATATATATATACACACACACATATACATATTATAACATAACCCTAAAAGTGTGAAGTACTCACCAGTCACCACATCCACTAGCTCACAACAAAACACACAGGTCAGCGCATCTCACCCAAAGACCAAATCCTCAGTCCCTCACCAGTCGCCATCTACCACAGACCAAACGTTCCAAATCCAAACCCTTCAGGCAGAGATCGTTAATTCATCTCAGCCAGTCAGGCAGAGTGATTCATCTCTGGTAAACCCTAACACAACCACCACTCAGGCACAGATCAACAATTCATCTCAGGCAGTCGGGCAGAGTGATTCATCTCGGGTAAACCCTAACACAGTCACCACTCAGGCAGAGTGATTCATCTCTGATTACTTTATTTTTGTTAAAATATTTTCTTCCTGATTTGAGAGTTTTAACTTGTTTGCACGAATTTTAGGGTTACTGGTTTTCAAGAATTTGAGGGTTTGAAACATTACTCTGTACTCATCTTTTATTCAATATTCAATCTCTCTCTGTGAGATCTAAGAAACAATTACTACTTTAACTGAACGATCTTCTTTATTCAGAAAATTGCTAACAGGGCGGGGCGGGGTGGGCATGGGTACAGCCATCTCCCAACGGGGCAGGGATGGAAAGTGATAATTCAACCCGTCCCGGGTATACATGTGTTCTTTAGTATATAGAGATTGCCATATAGCTATCACTGCACTAGATTAAGTTTATAAAAAAAAATGTTGGGTCACAACGCAAAAAAAATTAGCGTTGGGAATCAAAAGACCACAAGCAACGCAACCAAATGCCACACCCATGCATATCAGCAAAGACTGAAAGCAACGATCAAGATTTAAAACATTAAATATTTAAATGACATTGAAATTTATGAGACGAGAGCTTAAATCCTCATGGAATGAAATCTTAAGAAACAAACTAGAGAATATAACGTGAAATGCTGCTTAAACTGCTCAAGAAAGAGTGCTAAGATACTTACCTATGATGCCTTGCAAGAAGTGCCCTTAACTATCATCACTGGGCATTGTGCATGGTTCGAGCAATAATTGCTTACACTTCCCAAAAACATCCTGTTTGAATACAAGAAATGATCAGGTTTCATGTAGCAAATAAAGCATATCAAGACTTCAATCATGTTTTGCATAGATTATGAAGGATATGTTTTAAGTTAGAAGGAATTCTACATTTCCGATCAGTTCTTTTGGGGCTCAGTGTTTGACAAATGCTCAAGCCAACAAGTTATGAAAATGCCCAAAATCAAAAGTAAAAAGATGAAACTGTTAAATAATACTTGCGCTCACCCAATCAACATGCTTCAAAATTTTAGAAGAAGCAGTAAGCCATATGTATGTCAAGGTTCTTTTTGATTTAGCAAATTCTACTACATTTTTATTTTTCTAAAGTGCAAATTCTACAACATTATTAAAGGGGAAGGGGGGAACAAATAGAGTAGACACTGTCATGGTACACAGTTGGATACGCAGTTTCATTATAAAAGATCGTCATGGGGAAATACCTAATGAAAGAATTTGTCAAAAAAATCTAAAGAGTTGCATGCTTTACTAAAACAAGAAGTAGCCATCCATCTAAAGAGCAGCAAGCAAGTTGTTATCACCTATCTCTAAGCGCTAAAGGCTAATTGATTTGCTCGAGTTTGTCATGACTAAAGCAGATATTAGGATGCATCAAATGCTATCAAAATACAACGGAAGAACTCTTATCTTCACTAGATCATGGCCAATCACGTCCTAAATACAAGACTTATCAAAAAAAATAAAAAATACAAGAAAAACACTTCCAAATTTCGAATTTTAGTACCTTTTAATAGGACCGAAAGCACGAGACCCCATTACCAGCAAATCAGCATGCAATTCCTCAACAGCCTCGCAAATCTTATCTTTTGCATCCCCAACAACTACTTGTGTTTTCACATTCACCTAATAAAACAACCAATTCTCCATTACAAATCAAAAAAATTTACATAACATTCCCAACTTAAAACACCCATCTCACTATAAACGAACAAATTGCTGGCATCTACTAAATTCATGTGTGCGTTAGAGAGAGTGTGTGTATATATAGCATATACATATAGAGAGAGAAAGTAAAGTCTAACATTCTTATCGGAGCAAATTTGCAAAGCGTGAGCTATGATGGCCTCTGTGATGCGTTTCTGATGCGACTGAATCGCCGCAGTGAACGCAGGGACCTCCAAATCAACTGTGATCAAAATTAAAGCGTTTTGTGATTTCAATCTCAGTAATTGATTAATTCATGGAGGCATTATAACTGAAAAATAGACGATCTTGTGGATATAGAGAGAGAGAATTGAAGGCTCACACACTTAACTGGGACCACCGAAGGGGATAGCACCGGGACTGAGGCCGGTGGTGATGGACGGCGGTGATTGAACGTGGAGGATGACCAAGGAGCCGCCGGAGTCGGAGTCAGAGTCGGGAGAAGGTGATCGGAGCTTGAGGTTGTCGAGTGCCCATTTCAAGGCGTTCATGCTCTCTTCGCTGCCGTCGACCGCCGCGATCACGCACCCTAGGCTCGCTGACATGGTTGACTGTTGGTAAATCCAAATGTTACGAGATACGTTCTTGAGTGAGCTACCTGTTTCTTTTTACGAGGAGGGATGATGTGTGACTTTTTATATCGGGCACGGATGGGTGTTTGCTATTTATATTCATTCATCGGATTCACGGGACAAGCTTGGGTCTGATTTTAATACTAATGATAACATATAGGCATTTAGTTATTTAACCGAAAGATTAAGTTATTGGGTAAGATTACGTACCCACTTTTTTATATTCAATCATTTTTTTATCTAGATTCAATGCGGGATAAGCTCCCCCTTGTAACACTAGGCCTAGTTAACCTGGGGAGTAGTAGCCCTCGAAGACTTAACCGAGTTAGTAAGGTAATTATATAAGAACGTTCATATCTCAGGTTCGAACCCGTCCATCACCATTATAATCAATTGTTGCTAAGGTGTGGGGCCGTCAATAGCATCTCCGGTTTGTAGACTGGGGTAAGTTCCGAAGGGGCCCTGCTCAAGTGAGTTTCGGTGCCAACCAAAAAAAAACATGAGTAGTACTTTAACGCTATGTGTGCTCTGTGCTCTTTCTCTCAATTTTACAATGTATGATTTAAATTTTGCTACTTTTACTTCCAATTTTATGATGTGTGATTTAAATTTTACCACTTTCACATTTTGGTTTCTAATTCATTCTCGCACCTTTTAACTTAAATACGAGATTGGAGGTCGGACTAATTCAATTCATTTTAAATGAATGAAAAGTAATTGGAGATATCATTATGAATTCTATACTACCTGATACAAACACAAATCATATGTAGTGCGACGACAACCTTTTTTTTTGGGTAAAATACAGCCACACCCCCTGAGATTTGGCAAAAGGACACTCAGATGAAACTTACCTCTTTTTTGGACAAAGACACTCCTTTACATGAGAAATTAACCAAATTACTCTTTGACCGTTTAGAAGATTTTTTTAACTTTACAATTTAATAAATTGGATTAATCTACCCTCATGAACAATATATGCATAAAAAAAAGTAACCAAAAAAAAAAAAAAAAAAAAAAAAAAAAAAAACTTTATATTGTTCACTTTTTTTTTTTTTTTTTTTTTTACTTACTTTATAAATGTCCTAACTTCTTTAAAATGTAAACGTCTAAAATGATTTTTTTGATCCAATACATATATTTCAAATAAATTATATTTTGTTATTACTTCTTTTCTTTTTCTTTTTTATTTTTAAATTAAGATGCTTAATTCTTTCATCTAAAAAAATTAAATCAATCTCTTTTCTTTAAAAATAAAAAATATGGTACCAGTATAACTTTATGCATCTTAAATTATATATCAAATATTATACATTTCCCAACATAAAAGGGAAAAAAATAATAATAAAACAAAGGAAAAAAAAATAATAAAACAAAGGCATGCATAAAGTTAAGATGGTACCTATTTTCTTTTATATTGGGAAATGCATATTTGAAATATAATTTAAGATGCATAAAGTTATACTGATACCATATTTTTTATTTTTAAGGAAAAAAGATTGGTTTAATTTTTTTACATGAAAGAATTAAGCATTTTAATTTAAAAATAAAAAAGAAAAAGAAAAGAACTAATAACAAAATATAATTTATTTAAAATATATGTATTGAATCAAAAAATCATTTTAGACGTCTACATTTTTAAGAAGTTAGGACATTTATAAAGTAAATAAAAATAAAAAAAATAGGTGAACAATATAAACTTTTTTTTTTTTACTTTTTTTTATGCATAAATTATTCATGAGGGTAAATTGGTCCAATTTATTAAATTGTAAAGTTAAAAACGTCTCTTAAACGGTCAAAGGGTAATTTGGTCAATTTTTCATATAAAGGGATGTCTTTGTCCATTTTTGAACCTTCGGGTGGTGTCTTTGTTCAAAAAATAGGTTAGTTTCCTCTGAGTGTCCTTTTGCCAAACCTCAGAGGGTGTGATTATATTTTACCCTTTTTTTTTTTTTTTTTTTTTTTTTTTTTTTTTTTTTGAAGATTAAGCAAAGTGTGACCACAATTTCACAAATAAGTGTTGAGAGTTGAGACCTTATATATAGATATTTTTATTCTATTAACGGACTCTTTCATATTTCTTACCATCTCAGAGTTTCAAGTAAGACAACAGTCAATCTATAATGTCTAATGTGAAACAACAGTCAATCTATAATGTCCAAGCTCTAAATTTAATTTAGCTCAAATCCAACGTGTGCTATTTGCTGTTGACTTTTTGCAGCTTGCAATGGCTCACGCAAAGACGGAGTCAATTGACTTGGCCCGCACTTTATAATATGTGTGGTAATTTTTTTTATTTTTTTCATATTTATATGAAAAAAAAAAAAATTATACAGTGCCCCCTAAATTTTGTGATTTATAAAATTATCTTTTATTTTTTCTTTATTTTCTCTTTTATTTTTCAAAATTTTTAAATTTCCTTAATAGAAAAAGTCAAAATTTTCTTCCTCAATTGAAACTCTTTAACTTTTTTTTTTTTTTTTTTTTAAATTCTCTTATTTTTCTTTCCTTTTTTTTTTTTTTTTCTTTTTCTACTTCTACTCTTAAAATTATTCTTTTTAATGTACATATTTGAATAATTCTCTTCTTATTTGTCTTTAAATTTTATTGTTGTTATATTATATTATATTATATTATATATATATACTCAGTATTGTTTTTTTTTTCTTTCTTGGTAGTGTGCCCCCCTCACTTGAAATATTGACTCCGTCCTTGGCCTCACGTATGAAAACCATTTTGCAAGGGCATGATGAATTGTAAAGTGGATGTCGATTTGAAGAGGAGGGGCGGTAGTTAGAGCTCCTACCGGCACCACTATCCTCAATTGATGATTCCTCCTCTTCTCTCCTCGAGATTTCCTCTTTTTTTTTTTTTTGTTGTTCTCACGGTGGCAAAAGCTTGGCTCCAGATGACTTTGTTTAAGAATCTCTGTTGCTTATGAACTTCGGCTAGCCAGGCTATTATCAAGTTTTTAGTCCATGACCTCATGTGATTCTTAAGCAAGCTCTAACTTCGCTAACCAAAAGTAAAGAAGGAAATTGTGACCATAACTAATATAAAATGAAGTTATTAAAAATAACTTTACAAAGTTAAACATGGTACGTGAAAAATAGAAAAAAAATGGAAACAAAGAATTTATGTGGTCTAGATCTCATACATATGAGATTGATTATGTTAAGGTTTATTTTAGTTAATCTCTTTAAACTTATTGCTTATAAGGTACTTATTTATTATAAGTAATACTCCGTACTATAAAATAAATGATTCGACCATGTTTTCAGCCCAATTCACTATGCACAGTAGAGGCCTAACTCACGGGTGATCGAATGTCTGAATTTTTATTGGACGACCTTACACCCAAACAACAAATCCTCATTTTAGAACAACAAATATATAAAATAATAATAATAATTCTCTTTGTGTTTATGAATATAATATTTGCTATTTCTATGTAGAGGCATTTGTGTTTATTTTGTAATATTTTTAAAAATATAGCATTAATTTATTTCTTGAATTGTGTAAACAATAAAAATATATATATGTTTGGTAATGACAGGTGTTTAATGTTAATAAGAATCATTCTATTATTTGGTTGGACTATTTTAAATTGGAATTAATTTCAAATTGAATTATCTAAAATACCCCTTGGCAACAAATAATTAAATTAAATTAACAAAATATGTTCTTTTTATATTGTTTTTAAAAGAAATGACTGCGGTGCTAGATGGCAATGACGATGGTGGTGGAGGTGGAAAGCGATAGTAGTATAGGTGGTGGTGTTGGAAGGCGTCAGTAGTAGCGGTGGTGGAAAGTGGCGGCAGTGGTGGTGGCAGAAATAATGTTGATTGGTGGCAATGGTGGAAGGCGTCAGTGGAAGGTAGTAGCGATGACAGTGGTGTGGTGTTGGTGGGAGACGGTAGTAGTATAGGTGGTCATAATGAAAGGCAACAATGGTGTAGGTCGTGGTGGAAGGTAACAGTAATATAGGTGGTGGTGGAAGGGGGTGGCAATGGAAGATAGTGGAGGCGGTGACAGTTGTGGAAGACAGCGATATTGGCGGTTGTAACAGTGACAGTGGTGAAAAGTCGACAGTGGTCTAGGTGGTAGTAATGGAAGGTGGCGGTGGTGGTGGCAGTAATAGTGACGGTGGTTGTAGTAATGGTGGTGGTGGTGGAAGGCAATAAAAGTGGCAGTGGTCGAATGTGGTACTGGTGGAAGTCAGTGGTGGTAGTGGCGACGATGGAGATAATGGTGGCAAAAGGCAGTGGAAGCTGTTGTGTTTTTTTGTGGAGTATAATCACGTGATTATGTGAAGGATTTGGGAAACTAATTATTTCAATATTTTTTGGCTACTGGCGTGTTGGAACCGGTTTAGAGATTTGGTACCGATTCCACTGAGTGATAGCCAAATCAAGGAAACGTTGAGATCAGCCACTGTCCAATGGGAACCGGTAGCTAATTCTTTGTACCGGTTCAAGAGTGGTAGAACGTTGTAGAAGTTTTTGGCCAACAAGTTCAACCGGTTCCAGAAAGGCTGAACCGGTTCAATATTTCTGGGAAGCTACGTGATTTACTTTCCTTGTTGGAATTGAACTTTACAAAAGGCAATTCTTGTGGGACAAGTTGGGTTCCATTGTATGGGGCTATAAATATCAACCCTAATCAGTTTTTTAGGGTGTGAAGAAGTGAGAGAATTAGAGAAAAATCATACGTGTTGTATGATTAATTTGTGCCAACACAAGAGAGAGCAATTCAGAAAGATTGAGAGAAAATTCTCCTTGTAATTCTTCATCTTCTTCATAGTGAATTTGTTCGGTGTGCTCCATGGACGTAGCCCTAAGATTTGGGTGAACCATGTATATCTTATGTTCTTGTGTGTGATTGATTTTTTTTTTTTTATTCTTCGTGATTGCTTGTTTATTCCTTGAACAACGTTGTTTATATTGCGTTTCTGCCACAACAACTGGTATCAAATCCGGTTGATTGTGCAGAGCAACTCCAACAAATGGTATCAGAGCCTTTGGTTGAGAACCTAAAGCACATAAGTTGTTTGACAAAATTCCAAAAGTCTTTCGATTAGATCTGT